CGCATCCTTTCTATTGTTATTCTATATGGAAGTTACAGTCTACTGGTTTCCAATCCGCACTGGAATTTAACCCTGAAACGCCAGCAGCACTAACATGGCTTGTCTCTGCTCCCAGTTTGGCCCCTTCAGGCTCCAGCAGCAGCAGCAGCAGTGTAGGGGCCGTCGTGCTGAGACCAGACAGTCAGATATCGAAGCTGGATTTTTGTCCTGGGGGGCTCAGGCCTGGACCTTGTACCAGTGCAGCCTCAATAATCAGGGAACCATCAGGTTAAGGCTGGGAGGATATGCGTAAAAGCAAGTCTGGTCAAAGCTTTTCTCATGTAACTTCTAAAAGGTTTTCACTTAGCACAATATACTGTGGCTGACAGTCGTGTCGCCAAGGGCTTCAAAAAATACTTCTTTTTTTTTTCAAAGAAGTAACTTCCATACATTTTGTACTTAGAAAAAATGTAACATTTTTACTGTTTCCAGAAGGATAACGCAGTAAAGTTTGTTTGTTTTTTGTCTGGGACACCATCCTTAATGTCTCTGTGATGTGGTCTGGAGCTTTTCTTGTTTAAATATTGTTTCATGTATTTTTTCGTGTAATTATTTTATCATCCGATTGGTAATAACAACACGCCAGGCCGGGCTTTATTCTCCAACATTGCCTCTCAGATGAATCTGGTTGTCTGTTGACTCCCAGTCCTTGTCCCTGCTGGACTCCACTGTTGTTTAGCACAGCTTAGCCGAGGCTTCTCTCTGCTTCATGCATGTAAAAGCCGTCAAGCATTTCTGCACCATCTCGTGTGCAGCGGTTAGAAAACTGCTGCATGCGTAAATGTCTGCGGTTTGCCTCTTGTTATTACTGCAGGCTCCTCAGGTCTACCACTGCTTCCGTCACACAGCCTTCATGTGCACCGGGGAAGGGAATTCCTCCATGGAATTACACACATGTGCTCATCTTTTGTCTGTATGGCCCTTGTATTTACCACAAGTTATCGTCTACGGTCGTTAAACTGCCCACATTACGATTATACTCGATTATACTTTTGTATGTCTACAAAAACCCATTAGTGCATTTTCTTTTCAAAGCTGAAACTATTTTCTCCCTATGAAAAACAACCTGTATTATTACATATAACTTACTTTAGAGTTTTTCAAAAATTAGATTTTTTTTTTAACTTTCTTTCATTTTTTTCTTGACCGGTGAGGCAGTACGTTCCGAATCTTGTTCCGCAATCATTCTCGTTACATTTTTTCTCCTTTCTACTCATTGTTAGTGTACTTTTCTGTGTTGATAGATTATTGGTGGCCATAGATATTTAAATAATATTGATTACAATCATTTGTTCTATTGAGAGTAGTTCAGCTCCTAAATAAAACGTTTTGAGATAACAGTAAGATGAAAAACACGTGTCGCCAAAATAGATATGGGTTAAAAAGGGAGGAGAACCCGGTGACGTAATGTCGAATATAACTTTACACTTTATATCGTACCCTTATTATAGAAAACACAACAAGTAGGCGTAAATGAAGGAGTAGGAGTCTAGGATTTACACTCACTCGCGTTTAATGAATGCTTCTTAGATAGAAAAACAAAATTCCAACAAAAGAAAGGGAAAGTGCTTCAGAAATTCACCGTTCAAGTTTCCATTTCGAGTGCAGCTGTTACTATATATAATATATATGCATGTTCACAACCCAAAGAAAAAAAAATCAGTATACAAGAAAAAAACGAGAATTCACAAAAATAAATATTCAGTCTCATATATATATTTAAAAAAACAAACAAAATAAACCAGTGACTTCAAAATCCATGTCAAAAACCTGACCTCAAGTATTGTTATCAAAGAAAGCGAAGTAAATGAGTGAATGAGGAGGGAGGAGGCAGAGCAGGGTACAGTGAAGGGGGAGAGGAAAGGAGCACGACGAGGAGGAGGAGGTCCGTGAAGCCTGTATATCTACCGCACGTTGCAATTGTTTTACATTGATAACGTCACTGTCAGAGAGCTGTTTGTTCTAACGGTAGAAGGGCGCTTCCAACAGGCCATTACCAGCATCTATGCGCGTCGGGGGGAGAGGGGGATGCATTGTGAGAATGGACTGGTGCATCAGGACTGTGTGTGTATTCGTGTGTGTGTGTGTGTGTGTGTGTGTGTGTCTCCAAGAAGGGAAACCCCGCACATCTTCGCGCACACATGCCTATGTTCCTCTCGTTTCTCCTCTGCCGTGCAGTCTGCGCTTTTGACATGTGGATTAAAGGTTGAAAGCTTCGCTCTTGCAACACAGCGAATCCCCGTCACACACCTTCCTCCCCCTTTATTGACCTCCCATCCTCCTCCCCCTCCTCTGTCTTTAACTGCTACAGCCTGTTCACGCAGCAGCTCGTGTCGGAGCTGCAGAAATAGCCCGTTTACAGGCTGAGAACAGCCGTAAGTTCAAGTTTGAGTCGTTGCCTCTTCAGCCTGGGATAAAGAAATGACAGCAATAACAACAATAGAAACAATAACGACATCAAAGCCCGTGGTGAAACTGGCATCACGTAACAATTTTCGCCACGTTGATTTGGAGAACATTTCCCTGTAATCTCACTCTCCCTGTCACATTTTTATACATCGACCCTTCCAGAAGAGTTTCTCAATCCTCTGAATGAGAGCTGCCTTTACTGGGCTTCTCTGGAGGCTGACATCATTCACGGGTTTTGGGTTTGTTGTGATCTGGGTCACCATATAAGCTGAGGGCCTCTCCTTTGTCGACGGCAGGGAAGGCTGCCAATTATCACACTGCTATTAAAAGCATCCACACGTTCATTTGGGGAATCTAATATTCCCGTGGACACGATTTTGTATCTGTATCACCATTCAGATCCCAGCCAGTATGCACACTGGAGTGAGAGCACAAAGCCACGTGAGCTTGTCTGCTAGTGGATGACCAAGAAGTGCGTAAAAAGGCAACCGGTAACCATATCTGACCCACACAATTCAAATTTGTTTTTTCCACGCAACCCAATTTTGTGGCCCACGTGGACGCACAGAGCTGAGATCCACGTCGGAGGAGCAAAAACAATGTTGTAATACATTCATTTTTTCCACGAAAGAGGGAAAGCAAACTATTTTAAAAGCAACTTAATTTACGTGTATTTTGGGTGTCACAGCAAGTAATAAAAATAAATGACCTTTCCAGCTCAGATCAAGACAATTGACTCCAGCTGGGGGAAAAAGCACAGCAATAAAAACACTGGCTCCACCGAAATCAGTAAAGGGACCCCCCCCCTAAAAAAACCTTAACTAGCCATCAAAATCCATAATGATAAAAATCGGGAAAGTACGTACTTCGACCCCTTTGTCCACATTCAACTTAAAAACCCATCCTTTTCTTTTTATTCTATCAATATCTCTTCCCCAGGCCATTCAGAAACACTAAAGCTCAAACAAGACCCCCATTGGTATCAAAGTGCAATGCTTTTAAGCGAATCACTTGTGCTTTGTCGCATTGTTTCTAATGGCCAGTGTTGCTGGAAGGTGTTTCACGCTGCTTTTGGTGTTGTTTTCCTCCCTACAGTGACTCCTGATTCACACACAACCCCCCCCGCGCCCCCCAGAAATTCCCTAAGAACCTCGGACAAAAATAATAGTGGCTGTTTTACCTTTTTTTTAACTCACTAGATGTGTGTGCTCTAACCAACTAAAACCCCTGGCACCAATGTTTGAAGTTGTGTTGAGAAGTTGAGTCCTGCTTTGTAAAAATCAGAGCCTTTTTTAAGAAATGTAGTTATGTTTGATTGTCTGTACATAAGGCCTGTGTTGTGCCTGGGCCTGCGTAATGTGCACGGACATTTGTAAACCAGAAAATTCTACACAAAAAAACAAAATAAAAATAACAAAGGCTGGAGATCAGATCAAGATCTCTTAAAAATGTGTCCCATCATCCCATGAATGCTCAGATGATCTATTTTAACCCAATTTTTTCTGGTTTCAGACAAAGCAAAGGCGTCATACAATCCAACAGGTCGAACAGTCGAGTAAAGGGGATAGTTGATATAAAAATAAAAACAAGTAAACACAACAATGCACCATTGACACCCTAACGTATTGCTTAGGATTCGTATTCTTATCTCTAAAAGACATTAGTTTACACCAGTTTTAAGCGTAAATCCACGAGCGGCGTCTCACGATCCTGCGCACACGAGGCTCCAAAATAGAGGGAAGTCTTGCAGCTTTCCTCGATCAAACTTCAAAACAAAGCGGAATGTATATCCAGAAAAGGGTGGGGGGTTAAAAAGACTTTTAAAAAAACACGCCGATTACAAAAACAAGTTTGGAGCATTTTGGTGCGCTGGCGTTAAGACTGCAGCTACGACTGGGTTTAGAGGTGCATGGACGCTGTGGGGGCTTTTGTTGTTTTGCTTTCGAAAAAGCCCCACAGCTCAGTATTTCCTAGTTCTCTGAGTGTGTGGGGGAGGGAGGACGTGAACGCCTGGCTGCCACCTCCACACGGGGTGGGACGGTGGGGGAGGCCCGGGGCCCCAGTGCGAGTTCAGGGAGTAAGCGGGGCACAGATCCCCGTCGCTGCCGACGACCAGCGACGGCGGGGAGGGAAAATTTGCCAACAGACTGAAAGGCATTTTTGCAACCGTTGCTGCAACGCTGCTAGTGCTGCGTTTGCGTCTGCTCGGTAAATCCTCTGTGGACGCGTCCTCACAGCTAACAGGGCGAGTAAAGGAGGATGAAGATGATGATAATGAAGAGGAGGATAGAGAAGAAGAAGTGGATGATTTATTGACCCTGGGCACGTTTTGTTTTGTGTGAGTCCTTGAAACTCTATGTTTCCTATTCCCTAGCACCGCTGCCCTGCAGTTTCTGTTCCTGTGTTCCCCCTCCTCCATACCTGGAGCGTCATGTAGGGTGCATTCCTGAGGGCCAATGGGGGATCTGGGGGCCACATCAGGGCTCTTATCTGTGGCTTTAATCCCGCTGGTGAAAAACTCCCCTGGTTTGATATTCTGGCTGCTCTCTGCTTTGTCCACTTTACATTTCACTGCATTATTAGCCTGGTATTCATATTCATCACAGCTTTCCTCCACTTTAACTTTCACACTGTGGAGGTTAAAGGTTGGTGTCCTGGCTGCGCCCACGCTGTCAGCAGGGGAGGCAGCGGTCACACTGGCTTCCTCCACCTCGGTCTTGATTTTTTTCACGGGACTGGGCAGTTTCAGGGTGGTGGCTTTCACCTCATTTATATCAGAGCACTTGGGCAGTTTGGCGTCTTTGTCCTGCTCACACTGTGCGCTCAGTCCCGGGGGGGCTTTAGTGGGATGCCCCGGTGCCCTACGCGTGGCGTGGAATAAGGCCTTGCTTCGGTTGAGTCCTAGTGAATAGGAGAACAGATCCACAGCAGAGTCAGTCCTACCTAGCTCTGCATCACACGCATTTTCCTTTTTGGACTCAGTAAAAAAGCTCTCGCCAACATGAGCTGAGTTAAATGTGTGTGGCACCAAGCCCTTTGTAATCTCACTGTAAATAAATTCACATTTCTGTCTTTTGTCCTGTCCACTGTCCTCTGTCTGTGGAACGTGGTACATAGTCCTGTCCTGCTTTTCCTGGTGCTGGCTGTTGTTGTTGTAGTGAAAGGTGGGCTCCAGGACCAAAGGTGCTTTACTAGTGTGGAGACTTTTGGCTAGAGAACCGACCCGGGCCCGCCTGAACCGGATGCTCTGGACCGAAACCCGGCTCGAAACCGAGCTGGAGTCGGATTGAGATGAACTCTCCTCCTCTTCCTCTTCCTCCTCCTCCGAACTGACATCTGAACTATCTGTCTGAGTGTCATCTTCGTCCTCTTCCTCCTCTGAGCTGCCGGAGTTGCTGCTGGTGGAGCAGCCGGACCCAAAGTCCGAGTCCGGGTAGGAGTAGGTGCTGGATTCGGTGTCACTGCTGTAGCTCTCAGGGAAATCATGCTCCTGGTGGTGGAGGGGGTGTTGGTGTTGGTGAGGGTGGTGGTGTGGATGCTGGTGGCTGTGGTGGTGATGGTGAGGTCTGGGGTCCAGATATAAGTCCTGACCCAGGTTGAAAGCACTTAACGGAGTCTCGTGAGACCGCGGTGTTTTGGGTTGTACCAGCAGCACCGGCGGGACGTGGTGATGCGCGTGCCTGCTCTCCTTGCTTCCGGCTGCCTCGCGCCTCCTCTTCCTTTTGTGGAGCAGGTCTGAGAGCCGGGGCTGAGAAGCCATGGCGGACTGCAGCACCACGGGCTGCCGGCTGCGCAAAAACGCCTGCTTTTGGCTCAGAGTGAAGCGGCTCCCTGTGAATTTGGTTGTTTCATAGTTTTTAAAGTGTCTGTGAGCGGACTTGGTCGCTGAACAGTAATCTCGTGCGTGCGTTTTTTGATAAAATTGAGGTAGTTTGGAGTCGGTCTTGCTGTGAAGTGCCAGAGTCTCCGGGACAGCGCGCAAACTAAACCAAACTTTTTTCCCCCACAGCTCGGCACAGTCGGCACGGAGGAGCCCCCCGTTCGCGTCCATCGTCCCCCGAGAGGAACACACAATCGCCTTCGCTTTCCTTTTGTTGGACTTTAACACACGCTCCGTCTTGCAGGAGAAGTACAGAGCCTCCACGTCCTCCCTTGATATGAGGGTGCATTTGGCTGCGTGGAAGGCGATGGAGTTTATTGCTTTGAGCTTTCTCAGCTCCTCCAGGTCGCAGTGGTGCTTTTTCACCTTCAGGTGATCCATGCGCTTGTGCACCGTGGTCCGGGGGATGTTCTTGAGCAGGTCGGTGAAAACCTGAGACAAAGCAAACATCTGCTTGCCCTGGATGAGCAGGTATCCTAACCTCACTCCTTCCATCTCCTCAAAACCACACTCCAAGTCCCCCATCTTTTGTAGATCCAGTCCAATGTATTAATCCATAGAGTCACACTCCAGCGTGGTATGGATTTACCTGCACATGGCACAGAGATCAAGACACTCTGCTCATACCTTTAATCCATCCGTGCATCCTTTCGCAAAGCTGCTGCCGCTGCGTCATGAGAATGTAAACTTTGACATGTGGAGTTTAAAAAGAGCCTCATACGCTGACAGAGCTCACAGCATCCACCGCTCGTCTTTTGCCCGGCATGGTGCTGAAATTAGTGGTGGCGGTGGAGGAATGCGGCGGATGCGTCCAGCAAGCCGGGACTGCTGCTGCTGCTGCTGCTGCTACTACCTGCTTGTGCCGGCTCCACTCCCTTCTGGTCGGCAGCAGGACGAGGGGTAGGTGTACACACCACTGCCTCAGACAGAGGAATAAAATAGAGAGAGAAGAGAGAGAGAGAGAGGGAGGGAGAGGGAGTGTAGTGAGGGTGGAGGGAGAGAGAGAGAGAGAGAGAGAGAGAAAGAATCAGAATAAGAGCTAAAATGCAGCAGCTGATCTGGCTGCTGCTGCCTGAGCCACAAATAAAATGACAGAGAGGAGGGAGGTGCGCCTGTCTGGAGACACCTTCATCAATTAATGCCCTCAGTGTAGACGCCCATTGGACAGCGCTGACAGGTGATGCAATAAAAAATGGATACCCCTCCAGCCCCACTTACACACACAAACCTGCACATAAATGCCCAATCATGACAATAGTTATCCAACCCACTCTTCACGTATAGCTCTATAAGGTCCACGTTGGTGATTGTGGGTTTTTTTTTTTCAGTAGGGGGAAACCCCTGAGTCTGCAGACTGACACACGGCTAAAGTGCATTTTTCCATTCTATTCACATCAGCATGCATGTAGTCATGCTCTATGGGACATGTTGCATATATAAATGCGTTCTACTGGTTGGAGTAGAAGGTTCGATGTGTGTGTGTGTGTCTGTGGGTGTGACAGAGAAAAATTTCCCCTTTCACACTCGTGGATTGCCGTTTTTCCACATACAGGCTGCAGCTTCGACCAATGCTAGACTCCTCTGCTTTTGTTGGCTCCATGCAGCTTTTCCTCCATATGTATTCTTTATCGTTGGGCTGCCTATAGACTGACCTACTTACACACTATATATATGTGTGTAGGTCTGTCTTCATTTGTCTGGTTACACCAGAGTAAATTCACCGGCAACTTTTTCATTCCTTTATAATATTTTATGCACGAATTCCCCCCTTCTTTCTTTGTGTGCAAAAATATATTTAAACGCGCTATCCATGCTGCATAGCTTAAATGTTCATTCCTCATTTATTTAAAAATAAACTAACATTTGCAGGAAGACATTTGTTTTTATTTACACATACAGTATATATTTAAAGTGAGTAAGACAAAATCGCAGTTGCTTTTCCCACAAGGATTTAAAAAAAAACAACGCCAGGAAATTTAAAAAAAAAGAGATTCTCTTTCTAATATTCTAAAGCAACGCATACAGGGAAAATTTAGAAAATAATAAATAATCTTATTACAATAGTCAAGCCGTTTGGAAATCTCCAGGAATATCTTGAGACTATTTATATTTACGACATGCAGTAAAAAGTAGGAACGGGAGCCGTAGCGGGAAGTTACTGAACATGACGTCACTTTATTCGCTATTTTTATGACAATGGTCTTTTTTCTGCTTAGAGTAGATTGTCTACACACACACACACACACACACACACGTATCATGTGCCTTTACACGAGAGCGCACCAACACCCACACACACAGAGACACACTCAAACCAGCATGCAAAGGAACACCGAACACGCACGCTCCTCACACTGAAACACGCGGAACTCTCTCTCTCTCTCTCTCTCACACACACACACACACACACACACAGAGAGAGAGAGACGTACACACATACCCTATAGAAAGCAATGGAAACACAAGCCGCCACCACCCATAACGCTGTCCAGATAACGTGAGTGTGTAGTAAATAATATAGGATAATTGTGTGAATTACCAATAGACACAGAGAAGCCTTGTTTAAACTGGCTATTGTGTTTCGCCCCTGAGACACGTTTTATTTTAAATCGAGAAAGAACACGTTTTTTCTATAAAACACGTGAATCCCCTGTGACTAGAACACACACACACACACATATAGAAGTTCAACGTTACTAACGTTAAATTAGACCAGATAAGGTTAACATATCCTCTAAATTATTTTTGGAGCCACTTCTTTTTTCATTGATGATTTAACCAACACCGGTGATTGTCTGGTATGAAATAGTATCATCTTTATTCTGTTGTGTGCTGCGTGGCCACTTGGGCTTTGCAAGAGTCAACCGTGTATTTCACAGAGGCTTTAACCGCTAATGCCATGAGAATTATAAGGGCATTTGCAGATATTTAAAGGGCGTTTCCTCCAGAGCCCCTCGTTCATTTCTGAACCCGCTGATTGTTGCTATATTCCAAGGCTCTCTTAGACTAGGTCATGTTGCGTGTTTGGGTTTAATGGCGGTGGTTTAAAGTCGTAGAGACGCACAAAGACTCCATACCATGCTGCTGTTAGTTGGTGGAGCTTGTGGATTGTTGACACTGTCCATTCACTCCTGCTCGTTGTCTGCAGTCCATCCGTACATCTAGGTCGTTTGACCTCCTTCTCGCACAGAAGACCCGAGTGTCGGGCTCCTCTGGCGCTGTCTGTGGCACAAACTCGCTCTGTAAATGTACGTGCTGTTTCTGTGCGTCAGCAGCTTTTAACACGTGCTGCGGTGGGGCCCAGTATACCCAGGTCCACACGATCCCTCCGGGAATGACTCCCACAGTCGTTGTGCTAGCAGCGCTGCAGGGGAGGAGCAGACAGTGGAGGCTTGCTTCGTCCTCCTGACCAGTGCATGTCACAACCCCGCGGGAATCTGGGTTTTATTTTTATACTTAGTCGCTACATTGTTTTTTGACTCTGACCATGTATGTTGGAAATAAATGTAAATTCACGTTGGGAGATTATAAAATAATAAATAAATAATAATAATAATAATAATAATAATAATAATACAAGTATTCTGAATTATTGCCCAGACTGACGTTAGAAAACTCAGGACAACGACCACATCACGTCATAATTCATGAATTAAAATAACCGTACGCATTTACATCCTCTTGGTAATTTCCAATTAAGATTAGGAGCTCTTTTGTCATGCAGATTTTGGATATGCGCCAGATGCCACAGGGCACTTATTTCCCCTTTCCTTTCCTGCCTGCATGGATGAATTGTTGGTCGAATCCGGGGGGAAAGAGTAGGAGGAGGAGGTAAAGAACGACTTGAAGTCGCCGAGGTAAAGACCTCAAGCCGGGGGAAGGTTTTCAGTAATAGCCTGGTGGGTGTCCCACGGTGTTGGAGGTGACGAGCAAGTCCTGACATGACGGACATGCAGTGCGCCTGAATCACAACCTGGCTGGAGTTTGTAGCGAGGGTTAACGCGTAGGCTGCAATGAATAATCGATTAATTGTGTTTGACAAGCCTAATGACAAAAATGCAAATAAATGTGTTCTCGCTTGGTTTTTTTTGTTTTGTTTTTTGTTTTGTCTGTGGCAGTAATCCAAATATATTTGGTTTATGGGCAACAACAAAACATATTTCTGGCCATTATGAGGTTTTGAACACGTCACGTTGAATTGGCTATAGACTATCGATTAATCAGCTTACAGTGCTAATAAATTTGACATTTTTTTCACCAATTGCTTGTGTACACCAAAAGTAGACGTTTAGGGACACACAGCCGTCCTTAATCAGTGGCATTGTAGTTTTTTAAGAAGCAGCCAGACGAACTTTCATGTTACTTGTCTTAAAAGAAAATACGATGAAATAATGAAAAAAATCGTCTAAATATTTAAAGACTAAAAATGTTTTAACAGCTGCCCGAGAATATTTAACTGATTGTTTTTTTTTTGTTAACTGACAGCTAAAGCTGAATAGACGATAAATTGGCTTTGGTGAGTACACACACAAACACACACGCACACACACAACAGTATTGCATTGAATAGTCGACAACTACAATTACTGATACACATTTTCAACAATTAACAATTGTGTTGTAGTGAATTTTATGATTTTTTTTTAAAAAAACGGTCTCTGATTTTAGCTTTTCTACTTCTCTCACCTTGTGTGTTTCTGTTTCTGTTGTGTGTATGAGTCACAACCCAGGAGTGGCTGGCTTAGTTATTAATTTGTGGGTTGCCCAAAGAATATCACAATTCAACTATTGATGTAATTGTTATGCTGTTAAATTAAGGCTGTCGACTGTTTTGAGAAAATAAACCTTTGTCCATTAATCAAAACTGAAAAAATAAAGTATCTTTTAATCTTAGTGTAATAGCTGTGAAATATAACAAATGTGCAAAGGTACATATTCACATAAATGATTTTGGGTAGTTTCTTTTTTTTTTTTTTTACCAGAAAAGTACATTAACGTTTTAAGATGCAACATGTCTGAATGATAATAAATATAAATTACTAAGTAGTAGTTAAGAACTGAGTTAAGTTGCCTTTAACTAAAAAATATATGGAATGGATTTTATTTTCTTAATTTTAGAAAACTTAATTTAGTACATAGTACCTCTTGAATTTTATAGTGTATCATCCACAAACTTTTTATAGTCAGTGATGTTCATAAATATTTATTTTAACATAACATGAACTTGTTGATTCACATTCACACAGTGATCATGAAGAGCTAAGTCCACCATGGCTTAAAAAACTCTTGGAGCAGACCCTTCCACTGCTCCTGCAGTCATTTTGTTAAACATGGAATTTTATGTGGAGAATCTGGTCAGGAAGGTGCCTGCTCTTGTAAGAGCATATAGACTTTTTATGACACAAACCCATTGCCCCATGCCAAATCAATGAATTCCTCTCTTCTTCTACCCCCTCAGCACCCCCGGGAGAATGTGATTTTACATGCAATCTGAGCCTGAAGTGTGTGCGGACAGTGGTGGGGGCAGGGCTCTCTTCACCTTTCACCCTTCCTTGTTGGGACTGTTTGCATTTCTTTTTTTCTTTTTTTCTTTCTCTGCTCTGACCAGAGAGGTAAGTCAGAGATGAGTCGACTTTGAAGAATTCAAGTTATCTGGTATTTTTTATTGTGGGTCTGTTCCATAATGAGACATTTTTCACATTGTTTTTCAACATCAGGACTGCTAATGTTGTCCAGTTTAACAACTTGTCGTATATCTTTACCATACAAGTACATTTAGTAACATAAACATAATTTGACCCAATGAATGACATGAGCAATAAAAAGTACCATTAAAGATTAAGCTTCATATTCAGGCCACATTTAATACAAGGATGAATAGCAGGCTAGGTGATATTTAATGATGCTTTGCATTCACTTAAGTGAATAATAAATACAGTAACATTTATTGGCTGATTTTCCGAGAATCACCACAGTGATGAGGCTTCACACAATTTAAATGTAAATTTGGACATGTTTGAATCAACAACATGATTGAACTGGTGTCTATTTGTAGAATGTGTGTGTGTTTTTTTTTTAATTGTTTAGTCTCATGTAGGGCTAATTTATATGCTCCATTGGACTGTATAAAACTGATCATGTTTTTTTTTTACATCATTATGTCACAAGAATAATGTGAAAAATGTGGTGTATTATGTTTACACGTAACAATTCAGGTTTAATTTGGGTTTCACCCGACACCACTGACAATAACTCAACCAGTAATATAATCTATACATGAATAAGAAGATTTTTATTTTATTATTTTTGCCTGCACTATAAAAGGTGATGTAAAAAAAGTCGATCATCTGTAAGAATATTTAGAAAAAAACTTTTTGTTGTTCAGCAATGAAAGTACTGATTTAAGAGTTCTATGGATTTCCAATAGATTTTTTATTAATTAAAAGGAAAACTTAATTAAACTTAATGTTACCAATTTAAACATGAATGTGTTTCACATATAAAGAGAATTGTTTTTTTAAAGGAAAATAACAATAAAAACAATAATTAATTATCAAAACCAATTCACAACATGTTCATGGTGGTATATTTCTAAGATTTGAATAATTATTGTGAGCAATAATTACAAATACTGTTATATTTGTTAAAAAAATTCATTTAAGCTATTTCCATACAGTTCTAGTGTTTTTTTTTATCTTAGGTTTTACCAAACATGACAATTTCTTTGATGCCAACTAAATTTAGAATGGAGATGTCCTTGTGTGTATGTTATTTTGCAGCTAACAAAATAATTTCCCCAATAGTGCTTATATTTACTTACACAAATTTGAACTGTGATGTTTTCAAGACCAAGTTTCCATGAATATTGGGAACTACAGATATAGAACGATACCAACCATTAAACAAAACAAATAACCAGCAGCCTTTGTGCAGTGCTTCAGAATAAGGTCAGGCTTTTACATATAAGCCAGAGGCAGCAGGGTTGGACGTTGTCTTTTGTCCTCATTGTGTATTTTACACTTTCCTTATTCTGCACAGAGAGGGACCAGGAAATTTCCGCAGCCAGTGCAAACATACCCAGACAGAAGAGAACTCGTCTGTAAGGCTTCTCTGACCTTTTACATTTAAGTGGTGTGAAGCCACCTTTCTAACAATTAAACCCAGACCACCAGATCTATCAGGGGGGAATTTTAAATGAGAACATTCTTACATGGACATTGTTCTTTTACTGTGAACTCAGTTTGAAATACCGTAGTGTAACACATATTTTAAGGAAGTTGCTTCAGCGATAATTATGATTTATGTTGCTTTGCCCAAGTCCAACTCTGCCACTGTAAATCATTGGAGAGTGTACCGTATAAGCAAAGGAAACACAAAAGCAACTAGGCTAAAAACATAGGTTTTATTTTCTAAGGAAAACCCCAACAGCCTTTGACATATGTCCTGCTCTGTAGGTTTGCATTATGTCTGCTGCTGGAGAACTAAATAAATAAATAAATTCAAGTTTCTCTGGTAAGTAAGATGGCCAAGTATCCAGACCAAGTTAATAAAAACACTCCAACTGAACATCTGGTTATAATAGGTGTAGTTATTTATGCAGTTCCTTGAATTATATTAAAGGTATACTTTGAGTTCACTTGTTATTGGGGGCAGACAGTTGCTGCAATTTTCTATCTCGGTGAAAGCTCTCCTTTGACAACCAGATGAACATTACACATGATTTGTGCAGACTTTGACTTAATCAAGTGCAAGTTGTGAAAATCATTTGCCATTTTCAGCATTTCAGTAGCTATACAGGCCCTTCCACAACCAACGCTCCCTCCTTCGCCTCCCTTTGTTCTCTTCAGCTCTAATAGGTTTTCCCCTGCCACACACAATTCACTTTTTTCCTCCCCTTTTCCCCAGTCCCCCCTTTTAGTGCAGTGCCCACTGTCGACTGGAGCATTTGAGCAATTTGAAATTAAAGCAAACAATGGGTAGGCACTCCCAGGGACCTCTCGCTCACCATATTACACGGAGGACGCTCGTGTGCTCTTGCACATTATTGGCAAGTCATTACGTTTCTCTGGAAACCGTGAGCGGGAGCTCGCTCTGAGGAATCGGTGATGCAAGCAGCAGCTGAGTGTTTAGAATAGTCTGTGTGTGGATGTGTGTGTCGGGGGTGTGTGTGGTCAGGAACATCCTTGGCAACATCATGGAGATGCTGTCAAAACAAAACTGTATATTGACAGCTAAGAAGCAGGCGTCTCAAAGCCAATTATATATTTTTGTTAGGATAAATATATTCATCCTTACAATAAAAAGTTGTCTCAGATCTTCTGTGCGCTTCACTCATTAGGCCAATACATTTCTTCACCATCTTTTATTCATGAAGGAAAGGCATGGAGGAAACAATATTACATTCCAAAAAAAAAAAAGAAGGAAATAAACGCAATATCTAAACTGTAAGAATTGATGTTGGATTTAGTTGTATCACTACCTGGTGTTTTGAGTTGGAAGAACCGCTTCACACTCATTTTACTTCTAAGTGAAAAGCGCCTAGTTCCAGGAAAAGTTCCTTGTACTGTTTCTGGTTCCGAGTACTAGTCACTGGGGGGAACGCTGCTTTTTTGGCTTTAAGTGAAAATAACAAGAAGCTGTTCTTTGTCTTTTATCCACTATGTTCTTTTCATGTGACAACATTGTGAAGAATCTAATCTACTGATATCATGTTGTTGTTTTGTCTGAGTTTAATTAAATAAACGTTAACAACTACAAGACAGTCGTCTATGGTGTGGATTTATAGGAACAGTTTATGGCAATTTAAATGTGAAATACTGTTATTGTGTTAGTGTTATTGATGCAGTAAGTTTAACAAATACTTTTTTTTAAGTTTACAAGATTAACATTAAATTGTAAACTCCAGAGAGAGCTTAATGCCATGTTATTTTAGTGCAAAACTATTTTTTTCCTTTCTAAATATATATATGTATACAGAGATTTTGATTGGTGGATATTTTTTGAGATACAATACAAGGCTACCTGGGTAGCAAAACAAAACAAAAAAGTTTTAATGTTTTAAATCTTCAAATTTCTTATTAAGAAAACATATTTATGCCCATAATTAAGATGGTGTTAACTTTACACATGGTAACATGTAACTTTTTTCTTTTTCCCTAATAAAACAATGTTATTCTGCAGGTAAAAGAAGTCATGTTGCCTAAAAAGGCTGAATATATTACGTAGCTTGAGCTGCCTCCTACTCACTTTGGTGATGGGTAAAAAGCAGAGGTCACATTACGTTGTGTGCAGTGTCACAATAACAAGTAATTCATTTTTACATAAATCCACAAAATCTTAATTCAATTTAATAATTGTTAATATTTGTAACCTCTGAGTTTTAGATTGAAAACTTTACAGAAATGCCGTGGTCATTCAGGCATATTGTCTGTGTCAATATGACTTAAATGATGAAGAGTTAGATGTTGTTTTTGCTAGAAACTTTAAATATTTGCCATGTGGATCCAACATGGCGGGCAGAGAGCCAACGTCGTCATGGGTGACTTCCGGTCACAGGGCACGCACACTCAAGCGCTACGTCATTACGCATTTCCTGTTCTTTCCAAGCGCCTCTTCGTCGTTCTCCGTCGCACTGTGTTGTGGATGTTTTGATGAAAAAAAGGGTGTCTGATACGGACGTTAACGCCTTTTAAACATGACATTTCCACCGAGTGGGACCTAAAGCGGGACAGCGGAGTAGATTGGACCTTACACAGTGGCGATTACGATTTAAGTTTGCTCGATATTTCTACGCATGTCCGCTTTTTTCATAGATGGTCTCCGGCGAGCGGTGTGTGGCGGCGGACGACGAGTTCTCGACGAGTAACATGAAGGAGATGATTGGAGGTTGCTGTGTATGCTCTGACGAGAGAGGCTGGGCGGAAAATCCGCTGGTGTACTGTGATGGACACGGTTGCAACGTCGCCGTGCATCAAGGTAAGCTGCGCTGTTTGTTAGCTTAAAGTTAGCAGCTAGCCGTTAGCACACGGCGTTGTCTTGCAAGGTTATGGAGCCGCTCAGTGTAATTTCTGCTCCTCCTCCTCTTGCCCCACATTGAGGTCAGGTTCGGCTCATGCAGTGAGGCAGCCCGCTGCATCGGCTTTGACAGCTAATCTGCTGTGGATCATAGCCGGCAGCTGATTTTTTTTAACATAATCCTGGCTGCTAGTCGTCGTTGTTTAATTTTATGGGTAACACAAGCAATCATGTGTGACACAGTAGGTGAAAAGAACTGAAAACAAAATAATAACTAAACCAGCGGTTAATACTGAGCTCTAGCGTATCACAAACGATGAGAAAACGATTTCCCGTCTTAACGCCGCTGTCAGAAAACACTCAATAGTAAAATCAACAAAACATTGTTTTTGTTAGCTTTAGTGCTGCACAGCCAGTGCTTACCCAGAATGACTCTGCTGATGACGTCTGCCAGTGTTTACAGATTTACCAGCTGGCGGTGTCTCCTTCAGACACACAACACGAGATCGAAAACTATTTGAAACATCAGCAACTATGAACTGACAACACCACGTGTATTGTGTTTTGTTTGGAAAGTTATTTTTGGACATTTATACTAAATATGTATACCACTTGTTTACAACACATGCAAATAGCGTTATGACAAATACAGGGAAGGACTGATTAGGTTGCAGAAATAACATGCTGTGAAGGCCCATCCTACATTTATATCAAGTGGTTTAAAAGGGCCATCCATGACAGTGTGGTCTTTGCATCCATGATTGAGTGGTAGCTCATAATTCCTATGCCAGTTCTACAAAGAATTGTTGTGATTCAAAATTGAAGATTCACGCAAGTTTAATTTATAACAATGCTGCAAAGTAGAACATCGCTAAATGGATTTAATAAAAATAATTGTGTGCTTTAGTGAAGTGTTCATAGACATGAAGCATAACTTTTTAAGTTGACATACATAGAATTAGTCACATGTCAAAAGTTGTCATTTGATGTGTTAGCTTGTAAGAAATTAAAAAAAGGGTTTTAATGTGACCTTTGACCTAATCTGAAACTTTAGGGGTGCATGACTGTTGTTTCTTGCAGTTATTTGCACTTCCTAAAAGCCAATGTTTATTACTCCCCCTACCCCCCGGCAATATACTCTAGATATTTTGTGTACCAAACTTTAAAGAAAACATGAATTTTAAGTTGGTCAAACAATATGACTTTCTGCTTTTTGCGTATCATATGCGTAGTCGGTTAATAAATATACTAATCCTTTGATTAATGATTAGAAACCTAAATGTGAAATGTATATTGTTCCATCATGTTGTTCAATGTTTTGGTCTGCATAAACTCAAGGATTATGACTGCTTGATCTGTAAAGAAATACAAAAGGGTGCAGTTCCTGTCCAGATTCTGAGCACATGTCTCTAGTTTAATGATGAATGAGAAACATGTTTCCCGTCTTCCTTCTTTTAATCTTTGAGAAAAGCTTAAAATAACATCTGTGGGCTCCTAAAGACAGTGTATGGTATTGATTACAACTGTAGTGAAATAAAATCTCATGCATTTGAATGCCTTAATCTTGCATTGCCTAAAATAGGTGTTGACTACTGACCACTTTTAAACTAGTTTATCTTCTCATTAACTAAATGCCAATTGTGTTATATTGGATTAGGAGCACATGTCTGATCACACTGAATCTGAAAATGTCAAAGGATGTTAACTTTTACATATAGGCGTTGTACCAACAGCTTAAATGTGTTGTCCTGAGCTGTATAAGCACCATTGCACATCATACCTTATGGTTACACTGCAAAGCGTAACACTACAAAGCGTATGTTTTGAATTGTTCTGCCATCTGTAAAACATATTCTCTGCTAATGCAATGCACATGCACAGTCACACAGTGCAAAGTAAAGTTAGAACATAACTTGTAATAGTCCCTTAGAAATACATCTGTATCCGACACTTTCTCCTTGACCTGTTTAATTGAAATATGTAGGGAACGATAAATTAATCATGGGGACTATTTTCAGTGCGACCCTATAGATGAAGTAACTGAGCCGCAAAGTGTATGCTCATCTCCGCATGCGCCTCCATGTGTTTTTATTAAAAATGCATTACTGTAGCTTCAGCTGTTGTCCCAGTGGTTTAAAATATTTGATAGCAAGAGCAAACCATGTGAACTGAATGCATAGAGATACTATAACAACAGCAGCAGCAGTTTTACATACTCAATTTAATGTGCTGACACTGAAGCTAATCGTGATATATGTTGACATGATAGTATGTTTCTGCAAGGTTATTAGCTGAATTTTAGAACATGTTTTTTAGGATTAATTAAATACCTTGGAACTACATGTTCTTGTGGGTTTAATAACTAAAATAAATATTTTTGCCCTGTCTCTCTAGCTTGCTATGGCATCGTGCAGGTGCCCACTGGTCCTTGGTTCTGCCGAAAGTGTGAGTCTCAGGAGAGAGCAGCCCGTGTGGTGAGTCACACCATCTATGTAAGATACTGTTATTGAAGCAATTTTGATATTGGAATTTTGCAGAATTTCAACAGAAACAATGTTTGTTTTGGAGGGAGCTTTGCAGCATAAGCAATTTTAGACATCATGTTATAATGTTCTTAATTTATTTATCGTTGACTTTCACATGAGGGGAGACATTTATCCTATGTACATGTGCACCTACTCTACCATTTGTTCATTACTTTAACCTATCACTCCATCTTTGATTGCTTTATGGGTCTTTCAGTTCTTCTATGTTCTTCTTTTTTCTTTTATGATGAACTCTCATAAAGGTATTCTTTTATGGTCGCTGTAGCTCATTGTGTTGTGTGGTTGTCATATTGTTTTAGTTTATTGCAGTAAAACATTAAAGGGCAGCACAGTGAAAATGTCAAGACTTTTGTTTCCTAACCCTTTTTTAAGTCACGGCACATATTTTACATCGTGTACATTGTAATAAAACATAATTATCTTATTGTTCTAGTTTACAATATACTTACTCAGTGTGAAACCTGGGTCTGTTTAGTTGAACACAACCCTGATATAGTCGCAGGAAATTAAGAATGACATTCACATTCTTCTGCACCAGCTCTCTGTCTTATTAGTTTTATCAGTATCTGTTGCAAGCTAGTGAAGAGGTTTTGATTGTTAAGTAATTATGGTGGATATTTGTCTACGGTACACCTAATGATCTCTCACAACACACTGTGTAACTCTACTTAAATGTTCATGTACTGACAAAACAGGGCAAATGTGAGATGTGTTCTGCTAAAGGATTTTTCAAGTTATATATCTAAAAGCTAAAATGCTAATTACATTTAAACCAGTCAAAATGCAAATGAAGAATAAAAACTTTGTGAAAAGTATAGTAGCATCGGTGGACAACTTATGACTTTTAGTATCTCAAACACCAACGTACTGGCCAAAGCCTGGGGCAGCAGTTGTTATCAGTTGTGGCCAACTGTAACTTTAACGGTAACTTGTCAGGTTTTTGAGAAATTTATGTCTTGTGTTAGAAAAAAAGTACTTACATACTGTATACCAAATTGAGAAGTTAATGAGACAAATTACAACATTGCAGAATATGAAATTATATGTATGATTCAACCTTGTGTTGACTGTTTTTTTCCATTTCAAATCAATGTTTGCATAAACTCGATTGTAGAATGCCCAAAAGAAGTACATGCAACTCCATGCAGAGGTGGGATCAATCCCCATGAATAATGAACCTACATGCTGAATGAATCATGTGCGGGCACAGAAAAGACAGACATAGTTGTTAGGTTTTTCCTTTAACCTCTTAACCCATTTACAAGGCCCCTCAGAACTGAATTTAAGTAAAAAGCAAACAGATCACTTGACTTGAAAATCTGTACATCAAGACTGATCTACATTTCTGCTCTGGTAACTGAGAGTTTGCTGAGAATTAAGCTCAGGAGTTTGTACTAGTGAAAACTGGATAAGCAGGAAATTAAATATTCTAAGTATAAGTGTCTGTGTAGGTTCTTGGAATTAGTCAAGTGCGGTTAGTGACCTACTTCAAAAGGGTTTTAGGATGGAAATGACTTTTCTCAGATTTAATCTGGAATAGAAAGTTGACATTGTTCTTGATACTGTATTGTTTGTGGAGTAACTGGTTTTATTAGAAGAAATTAGACGATAAGTTGAGAGTTCTGAAAGTTGTTATTATTATAGTTGTTGTTCTTATTACTCCGGTAGTGCGGCACTGGCATTTTTTATTGTACATGGGGAATATCAGGCAGGCAGTATTTTCAATCTCTGACTTCATGCTGTCATCCTTCCTCTAAATGTAATTGAAGAAATTAACTCTTTCTAACACTTTTCCTTTTCCTTTTTAAGAAATTAACTCTTTCTAACACTTTTCTAAATAACATTCGTTTTTGAAACCATTCATGAACACAAAAAAAAAAACAATCATAAAACTGTCACTGACCTGTGCTGTTGAATTTGTGATGGTACTGTTCATGCAGGCTGACACAGGACCCAAATGTTTACAGTATCTCAAAGGAGAGCAATGCCACAGGGTTTTTTTAGCTAGTTTGCTGGAATCAATGTATTTCTGTTTCACTGTCAAATAAAAACTGTTCACAGCAAAGACAAGTGGACAGTGCAGGCTGTTTAAATAATCCACTCTGTTTTTGTTTTTTGCTGTTAAACTTTTCCGTCCTTATTCAGCTACTTAACATTTTCAGTTAAAAACGTAAAAAAGCCAGTAAGCCTTTTTAGCTGCAGCATTTTTACAGGACAGCCAACACAGTATTGTGACGGGATGTGTTACCGGAAGGAACAGCAGACACTGTTTGTGTTTCTTTGTTGTAAATGAGTGTGTAATCTGGCACAACCTTGGTTTTCAGAGCTGCTGTGTTCACCTAGAAAATAAGGTATGAAAATAAAAAAATAAATAAATAAAATTTAAAAAATTGTTGTATATGATAGGCCACGTAAACCTTACAGAATCGTAGAGAGAGCTTCCACAATCTGGATATAATCCCAATTCATATTTAGTAGAACTCTCATTCACTTTTCAGAAACAGCCTGGACATATTTAGGCAGGTTCGTTTTCAATATTTAATGTGAATATCAGGAACAGGTTTCCAGTCCTTCTGAAGAGCATTCCAAAACTGTTCTTCAGATGCTTTTACATTTTGAGCTGCTTCCTGTTACCGTGTTATCCCAAACAGATTTGATGAAACTGAGGTCTTGAGTTCTGTGGGCTGCTCACATACCCACAGTGACACAACGTTTCCTGTGCAAGTGTGCTTAGGATTTTTGTGCTGCTGAGAGATTAACCATTTGAACCCCATGAGGAAGTGAATAACTGTAAAAGCATTCATGCTTTTACCAGTTCATTTAAAGAAAATGACTAAACTAATGAAAGTTCAGGGGAGTTTTCAGGACTCCGCCCCCTAACTTTTCTTACTTGCCCCTTACTGACATGATGACTGCTATTTCAACTACATTTTTTACATACCTTTCCATTAGAAAAAAAGTCATTTATACTCCAACGCCTCCATTGAGACCCATTCTTTCTTTGGGGAACAGTTGATAAATTACCGTAAGAGCTAGATGTCTTTATCAGGCACCATGTTAGATCTTTGACAGATTCCTTGCACATTCCATGGAAGCTAACTTCAGACACATGAATAAAATTTAAACATTTTATATTTATATTTACTATTGACTTCCTGCACTCAACCCCTTACCCTCCCACATTCTTTGCAAATCACATTTTGCAAGCAGACAATTTTATGTATTAAACAAAGTAATTTATTATTTTTCATAAACATGTATTTAGGCATAACTACAGCTCTGAGTTTGTGTGAACAAACTGTCTAAATGTAACATTTGCTAATTGCTTTCGAAATTTATGTTCTAGTATATTTACCAAAGTGCATTTTTAAAAAATGCAACACACAAATTGGCCATCACAGAGGAACTGTTCAAAAAGTCACAGCCTCAGAGTTCAAATATTTGAATGAAGTAGAAATTAAAACAGGTAAAAGAAAAATACCTTTGTTCTCTTGACATTGTCTTGATTGATTTTTTTTCTTTTATCAAGTAGTGGAAGAGTTACTCTAATAGAAGATAAGGGACATCAACTGATGAATGGTGACTGTTGGTCAGAAATTACTGGTGATTTCCTAAATTGCCCTTTAAAAACAGTACATTTTTTTCATTTCTGACATTTATGTAGCAGGAATTAAAAAGAATAGTTATCCCAAAAAATGTGTCATTATTTATTATTTTTAAAATGTAGTATTTTTTAGAGAAATGCTCGTTCATTGAAGTCCTTTGACATTTGTGTTTGGACATTTGGAAATATTTAACTGTTATCTGTGAAAACAATTGCTTTACCCAGCGAAGATTTTTCTGTAGATATATGATAAGCTTGGAAAACATTCTCTTTTCAAAAGATAAAGTTCAACAGTTTAAGAAAAAAAATGTTTATTTAAACATGAGTCAGTTGAAGCACATTTCCCTGTGGAAAACAGCTTAATAAAAAAAAACCCAAAAATTTAAAAATTGAACAAAATCTACACTAAGTAAAGACTTCTTAAAAATGGAAGAAATTGTAGTGAACATTCAGTTGTGTGAGTTTGTGTGGGGAGAATCACTACGGGAAGGTGGGAGTGCAGGAAAGTGTTTATTTTCAATGAACACACACACATACAGACACACAGATTTTGTTTTCGGGCCTTGAATATGAGCCCAGTTATCCGACCAAGTGCAGCAGGCGTGTTGTCCTCTAGCCTTGTGTTTGTGGATTTACTTAGTAAAATGCAGAAACATCCTTTGGAGTCATACTGCGCGGGTCTTGTGTGTTGTTTCCAGCTTATCTCACTCAGGCGCCGACAGATTTATCATACTTCACGGTTTCAATCACACAGATTGGATGAGGTCGACCTGTTGTTTCTGACCTGATGTTTCTTCTTTTTTCCACAGAGATGTGAGTTGTGTCCGCACAAAGATGGAGCGCTCAAAAGGACAGACAACGGAGGTAAAATCTCTCTGTTTCACACATACACACACATCTGTGGTTTGCTTCCTGTGTATGTTGTCATTAATTGCATGTCACCGGCAAGTTTAAGGGGTGTGAGCGTGCTGGGAGAGTTATGTTGCTGTTTGTTGTCTGTGCTGCCTCTCTGTACCGTCCTTGCCAGTGCGTGTTTTATGAGATTGTGTGAGTGTGTGTGCGTATGTTTATGAGGGGGCGGGCCAGGATGGGTATAGTGCATGGCCTGTGAGGAGTCTCCTCTCTGGGTTCATTGGGAGGTCAGCTTGGTGGAGACTGTAAATATTCTGTGTGTGTGCATATGTGTGTGTGTCGGCCAGAGTGAGAGAGGCACAGCTGTGGGATTGTGTCCAGGCCTGCAGGGAGGCATCAGGACAACACTAACACACACCGTTTTACTACTTTCTCTTTTATTTTACCCTTCCCATGACCCCGCTCACTCCTCTCCTTTTTTTCTCTCCCAACATCTTTCTCCATACCGTCAATTTCTCTGCTCCTGTCGGTTGCCTGCCACTTGTTGATGTGTGTGCCGTTGCTGTTGTTTCAGGTGGTGGGTGATAGAGCAGAGTGAGGGAAATAAGTTAGAAAAGAAGTATCTGATCCATCATCTTAACCTGAAACAGGCAAAAGAGAAAGAAAAGGGAAGACATTTAAATTACCAACTTGTGTCCTGACCTCACACAGCCCTCCTTAGGTTATGAATACACACATGTTGGGTCTTTGCTTTTCAAACACACCCGAACATAAGAGCATGGAAAGTCACAATATTTACCATAGAGAGTTGAAAGGAATCTTGTCCCTAGTGTGCATGTATGTTGCAGATGTATCGATTTAATCGGACGGATGCCGTCGTCTGTGAGCCCATTGTACGGTGCACACGGTTCATTAACTTCTGTGTATACAGTTGCAGGCTCATTAGCTTAAGTTCACACTTTTAACCTTTATCTTTAATGTAGAAGCTAATTGCTATTACCCTGAAGCAACAAATGTCAATTTTTATTTAATTGAAAAGCCACAATTTATTTTAAAATTACATTCATTTAAACTTGACCCCTCCACCACTTGTCGATTCAGGGGGAAAAAGCGGCGTTTCCAGGGATGTTTTGTAGTTTTTTTGACCAGTAAAAGTGTGAATGCTGACTCTTGGTAGGAAGGCCTTGCCACTTTTATAGTCCTGTTTTATAGGCCTCTTCCAGATTCTTGGAGGGACTTCAAAACAACAACATGCCCCCATTTCACACACACTCCCTCCCTCCTGTCCCGCCCTCTGCCCTCCTCCCCTGTCCTGCTCACCAGGTCAAAGGCAGGGCAGGGGTTCAACTGTAAGTTTAAGCCTGTTTTTGTTTCTGCCATGGGGAAAAAACAGACACCTCCAGCATGGCAGGGGACTCCCACTTCCATTTGACCTCCCGTTCACCTCCTTCAGCTCCTCCTCAGCTCGTCGTCAATTCTCCTTGCCACTCCACCGTGCCCTGCTGTCATTCCACCGCCCCCAGTTTGTCTTTGTTGACAGGCAGCTGTGCGTGTGTCAGGGCTCAATAAATGGCTACTTAAATAGATTAACTACCAATTTTACAAATTAAAGCTTTGGGACTCTTGAGATGAACATGTTGAGTTATGGCTGTAAGAAATGTCCTGAAAAGGCTTTTGGGGTTTATCCTGCTGATAAAATTCTTTAGGTGATAAATGGCGCTGCACACCCCAGGTTATGCCTCCCATATTTCCATCGCTGAGTTTTACTGTTGCTCACAGGTAAAATGTACAAATCACTTTTGTATGTATTTAGCATGATAGACCTTTTTTCATCATTCCTCCAGCTTAGAGAGTTAAGCCATAATTAAACGACAATCTGTGATTCGTATTTATGCATGACTGATGGTCGATACTCTTGTTGCAGGTTGGGCCCATGTGGTTTGTGCCCTATACATACCAGAGGTGGAGTTTGCAAATGTCTCCACTATGGAGCCCATAGTTCTGCAGTCTGTGCCGCATGAGCGCTACAACAAGGTAAGCTCACTTATTCACAAATGTACATATTTCCTTGGCTTTGACCTGAGTGACAGCTCAGTGAGTGTTGGCCTTTGTGTTTTATCAGACGTGTTACATCTGTGAAGACCAAGGCAGAGAAAGCAAAGCAGCCACTGGAGCCTGTATGACCTGCAATAAACATGGCTGCAGGCAGGCCTTCCATGTGACATGGTGAGAGAAGATGCAGCCCTTTTCCTTTCAGATTCATTCAGTTAAAGACATTTTTCCCTCTTTCATTATTTTCCCTATTCAGAATATTTGTTGAAGTGTAAAGAATTTCACTTTGCGTAAAGTATCACAGTTATTTCACAAAACCCCTTTTAGGATTTTAGAGTCAAGGTTACGAGAGCTGACATATTTTATTGAGCCACAGAACAAACCAGTGATTTACTTTGCTTTGAGATTGATACTAACCTTCTGAGGTTAAAAGTGAGCGTTATTCCTCAAATATGAGATCTTAGTTCAGCATTCCAGTTTTCAACATTGAATGCATCATAGCAGTTACAATTACAGGTTGTGTGTCTTTCTGATAAAGTTTAAAAGGAAAGCTGTTAGAAACTGTGCAGGAAACCCTGGAGTATCAGCCAAGAAACAAGTGGAAAAACTCAACATTTTCAAGCCAAACCAGGCCTTTCTTATTGTTTTGTATTTAAGATGAAAACTTAGGTCCATGTGAATTACAGTATTTTGTCCTGCAAGAAATTTTTCTCTGCTGTAACTTCTGACCTTGTTCTTTCCTTCTTTTAAATCTGTATCTTTTCATTGGCCACAGCGCTCAGTTTGCTGGGTTGTTATGTGAAGAACAAGGATCGGACGCAGACAACGTCAAGTACTGTGGATACTGCAAATACCACCATAGCAAATTGGTAAGTATCCTGATGTTCTGATATATTCTAACGTGATGCTTTTTTAAAACTAAAACAGTCACATTTGGCACAAATGGCCAAATAATTATTGTCACTGTTTCAGATAACTGTATTTGCATGAAATTAATTTGAAAGAGACCATATTGATGAAGAACCTTATTTCCAATGTTACACATTACACACCCAGCACACACCCACCTCATCTTAGAACCTCTTTTCCCCCACCAGCTTCTCCTTCTTCTTCCAGTTCTGTTTCTGTGTAGTCTCCATTCTCTTCTTTCATCTTCTTTCTTTTATCCACACACACTTATGGTTCACCCTGCTTCAAAACATGTTTCACCCACCAACCTCCTACCACCCATCACCTAAGTGTACTGCATAATGGACAGTGGTCCATCATATTCACCTCCCTCATGCGAACTGGACCTAAAAGCGACCTGGGCTCAGACAGCTTGGGCAGCATGTGCTGAATGTCATTGTTCAGAATGTTGACTCTTTTTTTTTTCCTGTGGATGTTTTTTGGAAAAGATTCACTCCTTCTGTCCCATTTCTAGCAGCTAAATCTGATGTCATTGTGAGCATTTGTGGTAGTATGATATAAATATGGCAACATGGCCATAAGAATTCAGAAATTACTGGTGTATTGTCCAAAGTGACTGTACAAACTTGACTAGTTGATTTTGACCTGATGTGTGTTTAAAAACCTGCTCCACTCGTATTGACATGGCCATAAGAATTCAGAAATTACTAGTGCTCCACTCGTATTAATAACATCCTTTTCAGGACCTACGCTCTTCATTGGCAACTGACTTTTCTGATCTCTCCGTCTTTGTTAGGATGGAAGAATAGGACAGACTTTAGAGCATCAACACTCACCAAGATACGCACGCATTCAGAGATGACATTTTAAGATGTTAACACACTGATAAAAAGATTCATGCTGTTATATCGATCGTGTGTGAATAGCTTTGGACGCCGGGGCATAATGTCATTAAGCCCGGGATTGTATGGATGACAGGAATGTACGAGCGGGAATCAATGATGAAGAATGCAATGTTATTAACAGACAGGGTTTTCATGAAATGCCACTTGATGGATGTTTACGCCATGTTAGCAACATATGGTATTTGACTTGACTCAGTCAGTAGTCACTTTTGATTTCAAACTTGTATTATCTGCTGTTAAATCTGCACTACGGCGGAATTTCAATTTGGTATTAAGAGTGTGTGTGAAAACACCTTTTGGTTTTGCATCAGCAGATGTTCTATGTTGGTTTTTTTCAACGTGGTGTTTTCAAGCTGCTAAAACCTGCGTTTACATGGAAGTCAGATGTCCAGAGGTGTAATGAAGTAGTATAGTAATATAAATTTGATTGTTGATGGTTATGATAAATTGTTATCCTCATCTAGTATTAAACATGTGGACAACCGATGATAGACAGGACTCAACGTGTTTTCAATTCTCTGTTTACTCCGTATCCTTACTCTAAGGATAAACTGGAAACACCAATATATTGGATTACACACTACTAATCCCAGTTTAAAATGTAGTTTTTACTAATGATAAAATGCAAATAATTGGTTGAGGTCAGGAGTTAAGTTTGTCTTGTGACAAAATGTCACACAGTTTAAAATGCAGCACATGACTGTGCATAGTTTTGCTGCTGCTCCCAGTCATGTATTTTTATTAACAGCTACCATTTAATTTTCTGTATTTTGTAATGGAAGCACCTTTCCAACACATTTATGTAAAAAAATTTACATTTAGGCCTATATGATTTTTGTTTTTTAATTTCAAGTTTTTGCTTATGGTTATGTAAATGTTTTTGGCTTTTTTTTAGTTGAAATTTGAGATATACATTTTTGGTCTCTTTCCTATGGACTTCATCCAGTAACTTGGAGTTCCTCTTTACCTTTTTTAGCGAAGGAGCAGGGGCCGAGGTAGTAGGTCTCAAAGCTTAAGTGACTCCTCTCAGTGTATGGATAGACCCACAGACCAGGACAAGAAGGTAAGACAGCCCATCAGCTCTTACCCTATCTATGCCTCCCATCCTCCAATATGACTCCACCAGATCAAACGTCCTCACTGTTGCGTGTTCACACTGTGAAGGGACAGGCAAAAGGAGAAAAAAAAAACAGTGAAATCACTAATCAAAAGGCATTTTTAGTTGCTGTTGTTGTAGTTTCACAATGAGCTTTCATGAAGTTTCCTTGTAATATTCAGGGCATTGGCAGAACAATGTGTAGAAGTACATTTTTATTATTGTTGTCTCAAATGTATGCTGTTGCATGAAGCCACTATTAATCCAGTGCCAATTACGTTCTTGCTGGTACCCTCTGGAATCCCCCACCAGTTCACAGCCTCTGTAATGAAAGCTACATCAGTGTGACTTCATCAGTCGCGCCTGTTACCACAACATGTTATCACAGGCTGCGTAAAATCAGAATTTACAGGAGGGTTCAGGTCACATGTTTCACTTTCTGCGGTCGTCTGTGGTTAAATTAAACTGGTACATGAAGATATCAGGTAGCGTGATATACTTGATATAATATAACCTTGTAGCATTACCCAAACCTAATAAAACATGTGGTTGTTCTTTACACTTTAGTTTTCTTTACAATTGTCTCATTATTCAATGTTTTTCTTTAATAGAATTATTCTAATAGGAGGGTTAGGAAAGGAGAGTGAAGGGAAGTGAACTGCTTTTCATTGTGACACAGCACACCACTGCACACAATGAAATGTGACCTCTGCATTTTACCCATCACCAAAGTGAGCAGGGGGCAGTGTGTGAGGACAGAGCCATGCTCAGAGCACCTCAGTAGTAACTTGGCAGCTGGTGGACTCAAACCTGTAAACTTCTGGATTCAAGTCCGCTTCCTCAATCTGTTAATTTGCCTATATATTTAAGATTTGGTAATTTAGGTTTTTATCTTTATATAAAATGTCTTAATATTTTATAATGCTGGTGATATTATTAGCATCACATCTCTAAAAGACATTTTTGATTTGATCCATCTGATACAATTGATCACATAAATTTATATAATAAGTTAAGCATTTAGTTTACTATTAGTACCTTGTGGATTAAAGAAACGCAACTCATGACATAAAGGGTTGAGCTAACAGTTAGTCACAAAGGAAGGCTGTGGTCGGGCTGCTCCATGGCTAAGAGCATGGTTGTCCCATCACTTTGTGAAACTGTATATCTTGTATCAATATAGTCTTGTACATTAGCATTACATTAATCATACATTCCATTTTTAAACATATATTTCATGCAGTAACCATGACCACTTCAAAAAGAAAAAGAATAAAGGTAGAGGGCAGCATTGCTAAATATAGCCTCACTACCCAACACTTTGTGGCAGAAGGGATTGCTTTGTATGATGCTGTTGCCTTTTTTTTTTTTTTTTACTGAAAACAGCCTTCCTGTTGTATTTATTCAAACTCTTAATGTTAATGCTGATTTGAACATATTAGGGGGAAATTACAAGACATCATCTGCATATAAAACAACTATGTCAACATTGGTGCTAGTGTCAACATGCAAAATGAAGAAGTTTACTTCATCTGTTTGCTTACAAGTGAACGCCTTAAATAGCTGTGAGCCGTCATCAAAGAATCTTTGTCTGTTTCTTTCGCGTCTTGTAGTTACACACTGACCTGGAAAAAATAATTTAGGAAATGAAGACACTACATTTGCAGTATATAAAGTAACACAGGATACTGGTGTTAAAAATCACACGTCTGTACTGTCTACTTCTGTTGCACAGAGGTTTGGCCGGGTTTAGTTTTTGCGTAAAAGAAGTTTTCAACACATGGTTGCATCAATAGACAAATTATCAGATTAAATTGACCAAAGATGGATAGTGAAAAAGAATGCATTTTGTAGACACAGATCTCTGGCCAGCTAGGTCTTTACATCAATGGTATTGATTAGAAGTACAGCAAATTCTTTGATGCACGTGTTTTCTTTTTTTTCTACATTTCTATGTCTTGGAAAAGCATCTGGCATCTCATCAAACAAAAAGCAATAAAAAAAAAAAAGAAACCCCAAATTGACTTACGCATACTGAGCAATGACATATTTACAAATCGTCTCAATAAGGATTGTTTTTTCCTTTTCTTTTAGAATGACTCCAGATGACCGGATAATTTATTTTTCATAACATGGAAACAGCCAATTTAGAGGCTGCTCTACAGCCGTATAAAATCAAAATCAATATCAGATTTATTTTACAAACACAGGGAGTCGAGACATTTTTGATTAAAAGAACAATACATTTAAAGACATAGATACACAAGATCACTCTGTAGGTGTGTGTGTGTGTGTGCATGGTGTATGTGTACGCATTTATTCATACTTGAGTTTCAGTGGCTTCTGCCTATTGTTCTACGGCCTTTTTTTCCTACACACACACTTCATCCATGTCCAAGATCAGCCCAGATGTGTGTGTGTGTGTGCGTCTATGTTTTTTGTGTATGCATGTGTGTTTAAAGCACATGCATTTGTTTAGTGGTTGAGGGCTCAGATGTACACCCGCCTCACACATTAGACCCTGCAGTGAAACTGCAGAGCCCCCACACCAGCCGCTTACAAAAGGCCTGCAGGACAGTCTCTCTGTCTCTCTCTCTCTCTCTCTCTCTCTCCCACTCACACACACAAACATACACACAATAGCTGGTCAAATTCTGCAGGAAGCTGCACAGGGGAATTCCTACCAGGTCAAGGCGGATTATTTTCCCCCTTACTTCCTGTTTCTTCGTTTCTCTCCATCTTCCCTCACCTTTCCTCACCCCTCCACCCCTTGTGTGTCAGCACTCTCTTGTTTTCCTCCTAGGGCCATTGTGTCGAATGTGAAACGTTTAAACCGTGTTGCATCTGAATGCGGTGCCTTTCGTTAGCAACTAGCATTTGTTTGAATTCTGTAATCACTGTTGAAACGATAAAAGGTCTAAATTTCCATGACCTAAAAAAATATTTAGAATAAATTATTTCAAGGTTGGTAAAGTAAAGTTTTGTAAATTGATGTGGAAAATGCGCAGGTGGAAAATCTACAGGTGAAGAATGTCTAGTGATTTATTTAAATCTCACACAACCGTTGATTCACATCTATAAAGTCACGTTTGAAAGCGGTGGGAGAGTTTTACAAAGAATCCTGTCTCACTCCTGATGAGTGGGTTTCCCAGTTCACTGCACTGGACACTGACGGAGAGGTTTGGAGCACACATTGTTCCACGGGGTTGTTGATAAATAGTTGAAGTTCTCATCCTCTGCCACCACTCATATTTACCCCACACAGTCTCAAAGAGCATTTGGACATGTCAAATGAGCTGGCCGCTAATGGTCAGTGACAGAGAAAGAGAGGAGAGGACACGCTGAAAGGGCTCAGCGTCTCTGTCTGGATAATCAATTGACCTGATTGATAAGAGTGTGTCAGGGTTACATTGTGTGTGTGTTTTGTTTCCCACGCCCAGCGCTGTGGCTCCTCCACAGTGTGTGTGTGGGTGGTGTCCCATCTTCTCTCCATCAACACCTACATCTGGAATGTTAATGAGACAACAAAGGAACCTCAGAGAATCCTACTCTCTCACCTTCTCTCCTTTCTCGTATTACTGTAGTCAAATTTGTTTTTTAATAATATGTTGTCATTACAATTTAAACGTGGCTATAATGTAGGATTATATACATTCTATCTCCTTCTGTTTGATGTGCTTTTCTTTACTACATGAAAACTTTTTTGAGTTGTTAGATACTTGTTTTGTATAAATAACAATTCAAAACTTCCTGTACAGGCAGTAAGGCTGATTGGCTCATTTGAAGGGAGACATAACTTGGGTTTTAACAGCACAATGTGCTCATACTAATGTTTTGAGAGCATTTACCTTGCCTTTAAGGACTACATTTACAAAAATGCATATATCAAGTTTGTTAGGGTTTTGGGAGTTGTGATGCTGGTTTGATTGTGAAAAATGTTTTATAGTAATTTCATTTCAACTGTCAAACATTTGTTTAGAATTGCAAATTAGAAACACTGCTTTTGATAATTAACATGAGGTTAATTGTGTTTGAAAACGCTCAACAAAGGGGGCTTTATTAAATCAATAACATGTGTGAGAACTGTATACAAAACAATGCACAACATTTCACAACCGCTTTATGACTGATCACAGCGGCCACGAACAGACGAGTTCTGAGCTGTAGACTGGGCAGATGTTAGTTTGAGCAAAACTGAAATCATACAGTATTTAATTTAAAAGTCCTATGTGATGTGTACTGCCTTTATTATTTTTCTCAAATGCTCCCTACAAAGTAAAATGTTTAAATTTTTAGTTTATTTTTACTTTTTTAAATTATTATTATTTATTCACATTATTATTTAAATAAAATAAATGTTCTGTGATTGGTGCATGCATTTCATGCATTGCATTTAATTTATACACTAGGTCCTTGCATGTATTGCCTTGTATTGAGTAACACATTGAAGCCCTGGTAAGGGCCCTTTGGCAAAAATGTGGTTGTCTGAAAATGTGTTGTATTTTTGAAGTTAGTAATTTGTTAAACCTGCCACATTTTTCAGTCCGATTTTACGTTTTTTCTTCTTCAGTCCACACATTTACATTTACAACCAAACGTCGCGACATTCCACTGTGAACCCCAGAGTGTTTTCGTCAGTGGTTTGTGGCGTCATTACAGCCAGTCTCCTATCTCCTGATTTGGCTGGTAATGTCTGTTAACTGCCACACAGAGGAAGTCTGGCTAAACTGTCACCAGTCATCACGCAATCACTCCCCATCCAAAGCCTGAGGGGAGAAGACAGGGGGATGGGCAGTTTCTGAGTTGTCACAACACTGAGCGTCAGAGGTTTGTTGAATCTAAAGGTGTCTCTCGGGGCTGCAGCATATTTTCACCGCCTGTCTACATCCGTGTGTGTCCACTCACACGGATGTGTGCCTTCATGCACATTAGAGTCCACGTTTAGGTACATCGTTTGTACTAGCACCTGTACACGCACTTGCAGGAGGGTGTTGTGGGTGCAGGGCTCAATGAGAGGTGTAAATGCACTGGCACCCAGTCACCACCTCAGGGGTGCGAGAAGAGGGCGTCAGCGTGTGTGCGTGTTAGCATGGTTGTAAATTGAGCTGTGATCATCCGAGAAGGAGGATATGATTGGGTGAAACAATGAGACCTTGTGTGCTTGGCCATGAGGCACTTTAGACACACTCTTCCCTAAACGCAGCTGAATTCCTCCTGTCGTCTTTTTGTCTCTCCTCTGTCACTCTCTTTGTGTTTGTCCACGCTTTCATCTCAGACTTGGCCTTTGAAATGTAATGCTCCCTCTTTTTCTCTGTTTCTTTCAACCAATAACAAACACACTTGTATGCACAGACACACATACACACACACCTTAAACCTTATTTTAGAATACCATATTCTAATAATGATAAGTTCTACATTTCACTGACAATCTTTGACATTTTTTCTTTGTTGTTTCATCTGAGGTTCTTTCTCCATTCACAGTGTCTTTTCTTAAATCACTCACATTCTTTTTTCCTAATTTTCTCCAACTATAGAAACACAAAGAACGAGACAGGCACAAACCAAGACACAAGAAGGGCATGGACATGTCTCCATCCCTCGTCCTTCCAAACATCATGGTCCCAGACAAGGTGAGGACATTTTTGGTGTGATTTTGGTATTTATCATTTTCCCCTACATTATTTACTCAGAAGTTCTGTTCTCCGGCCTTTATTTACTACCCTTTTTTCTGTTTTACTTTCTCCTCCAGACGTTCAACAACTGCAGTTCAGGTGGAGGTGTTACGTCTCTGCCTTCATCCTCACAGAAGCGACTTGACGATGGCACCGCTCGCTTCACCACCGCCAACTTTCAGGAAGTTTCCTCTGTTCACTCCGTTGTTGGCTCCAAAGAGAGCTTGGCTATTGACGCTGGGAAGGTGGCTGCAGACGTGAAAAACAAGAAGAACAGCAGCGTGGTAGGACAGAGGGGAAGCCGAAAGTCTCTGGCCTCCTCAGGGAAACCCCTTCCCTCTCCCGTAGTCACCATGGCAACCTCCTCCACATCTGCCTCTGCCTCCACTGGGCCTTTCCACCAAGGTAAATTGATGGCTCCAAATGTTCCTGTATGTTAATTTTCCCACTGTAGGGAATTAACCCTGCAGTTAGAAAAATGGAGGCAAGTTGACAAATCATCTGGCGTCACCGCTTTCTCAAATGCTAAAAGCATGCCTCTGCAGTATATTTGGAATCACACAGTGATGCGTGTATTTCATGTGTGCTGCGTCATTCCCTGCTTTTTTCCCCCCCCTTTTGCCAGACACCAGACTTGTAGTGTTTAGCTGTGATAACAGTGTTTCGTCTCCACTGCTTCTGGCTCCTGTAATGTCTCTGTTCCCAGACAGAGGCTCCGCACACACAAACACACAGTAAACGAACATGTGCTGAGGTCAGGACCTGCCACGGAGACATTGCTCACACTGGGCTCCTGTGTTTTGTACTATCAGGACCTTGAAATCCCTTGTCAACTGCGTGCGTATGTGTGCAAGTTTCTATGTTTGCATGCACATGTGTGTGTGTGTGTTTTTTAAGGCAGTTCCTTTCCTTCCTGGGAGGACTGCATGATGAAGGATGTCTGACAGACGCAAAGCAGAAAGCAGATAAGATGCTTATATTTCTTATCTTACTTCTGCTGCCCCCATGATGATGGAAACGAGGGCAGCATGGAGCCCTGCCCCAGCTCTTTCCTCTGCTTGCTCCTTTTAGTGGCGTCCCTTTTTTTGCTTCTATCTTGTCTCTTTACTATTATTTTGTCTATAAATATTTCTATTTTTTTTTCTTCTAGGTCTCCTGTTGTCCAGTGCCAGTAAGATGCCATCTGCCACATCATCTTCAGACTTCATAAGTTTCTCAGATCCTTCATTACGTCCTGGCAGTGGAACCACCTTCTCCTCCCCACCAACTTTCAGCAGCACCCTTGTGAAGCCGAGCTCAGAGAGCGTAGCTTCAGAGGGAACAACAACCGTTTTTGGTTCTCTTATGTCTGCAAGTGCAGCTTCTGCGGGTGAGTGGCCTCACTTAGGTGTATATTATTTTTATCTTTTTTTTTTTCAAATTATATTATTTACAACACTGTTACCCAGAAAGTGTGTACGACAATTTCAGTATTACACATACTAGAATTTTGTGCCTATTTCTTTCCTCATCTGTGCATAAATGAGACTAAACCACAGGGAATCTTAGAAATATTATTTTCAGTCTACATTTAAAATGTTAAGGGTACACTTTTATGGCCTCTAATTATTTGGTAAATCATTAGAGCAATAATTAAATAATCAATTTTCAGCTCTGTAAAAATGGTCATCAATTAAAAGACAAATAAACTATGCCTTATACAGCTTATGATTTATAAAGTAACTTTGGTTGTAACTAGACTGTCTCTCAGGCCAATCATTTAGTATTCAGCTCTGCTTTCTCATCTTTGTAGTGGGTGGGAAACTATACGAGAATTCCCACAGTCACTCAGCCACAGAGTCGACAAGCCTCGGTGGCTCCGCTGGATACAAGCGACCTCAGCCCACCAGCTCAGGGCCAGGCATCGGCGGAGCAGTGGCAGGAGGCGTGGAGGACGGAGTGAAGAAAAAAAAGAAGGGCAACTGGCGAAACAGATTTGGACCCTGTTTCAGCACAGACATGAAGCCCACAGAGTCAGCGCCCTCCCTGACCCTACCTACCTCTTCTACAGCCATCACCACCTCCATCTCCTCACCCTCCACCTCCTCCGCCTCCTCTTCTTCAACCTCTGCACTTTCGGGCAGGCCGGGCTTAGTTTCAAGTAGTGGATTAGGAGCCGGAGTTGGGGTGGGTGGAGGAGTAGTAGGAGAGCGGGGACTGGGACTCATGGGTGTCAGCGGTGCCATTCAGAAGTCACCGTCGCTGCTCAGGAACGGGAGTCTGCAAGGCAACAGCAGCTCCACCACCTCGGGTCCAGGTGAGAAGACGACACAAAAATGTTACAAAACACACAAATCCTCCAGAAAAAATGTAATTAAAATACTTACACAGTTCAGAATACCTTCAATGTCAAGACTCAACTGAAGTACAAATCAACTTAACAATTTACTAAAGCTTAGCGAGAGTATAAGATCAGTTTGAATAACCTCTTAGAAGAAAAAGGAAGTGCCTTTTTGTCACATTTGAGCAAAATCTATTTTTTTCCCTCTTCAACTTTACCTTAATTTAAATAAAATATGCCAGTTACTCAAACAAAAGCTCCCCAGTGTATGGAAAGTATTAGCATTACCAATGACAAATTGCAAAGAATTGACACACCTTCATAATTGGTCCTTTGTGTGTGTATGTGCACGTGTGTATTTGTGTGTGTGTGCGTGTGCACACTTGTCAGAGTGTGTTTTTATGTGTTATTTTCTCACACATGTGTAAGTGGTGCCTATGTTCTTCCCTTTTTTTTCTTCCCTTCCATCACGTTTAGTTGCTTGGCAACTGTCTTTATGCTGCGGAGTTTCCCTCCGCTGATTGAATCGGCATCTGGGTACAGCGCACACATCCCACAGCTTTCCTTTCTTCCAGAATCACCAGCCTCCTTTTGTTTCCCGCGGTCGTCTGCTCTTACCTGGATTCTGCTCATTCCACACATTCTTGCATCACCTGTTGATGCTTTGTGCAGTAGAAGGTCGCATGTGTTGCGTGTGTGTGTGTTTGGATTTTTGTGAAGTGACAAGTTAGTGCAAATGCAGATAAAAAAGATTCTCAGATGCTTTCATACAAAGCAAGTTTGTTTGAAGAGTATTTCTGAGTAGTAATTTCTATAGTAATAGTGATTTCTTTCAGTGCTGACATTATTTAATTTTACAGATAGACACAGAATTGCATAACACAAAGGTCAACCATTCATCCACATCAACAAACAGAAACAGTGTTTTTAACCTTTGAGCTGGATTTAAAACTAAGGATTATTCTGTAAACTCACCAAACAAGAATTTTATTTACACTTTGCACCTCAGCTCTTCAAGCTTTAGGGCCAGAAACAAATGAACAAATAGTTGTTAAGACTTAAACAAAAAGAACTGTTGATGCTCAAAGGTCAATGGAAAGACAAACAAAGTTAGTAACGAGTCAGTCCATATGTGTCAGAAAGTTCTTATGCTGTACAAGATAAAATCAGCTGTTGTAACACTCCAAAAAATTAAAGAAGTCAAAAGTCTAAAGTACTGAGAATTATCGCCAAGTCAGTACTTAATGATGAAGTCCTGACTTGAATTAAACTACGGCCTGAAGCAAAAACTTTAAAACTACAAGAAGGGATCACAAAAAACATCTGGAACTAGTACTAATTTTCTTGTTTAATTATCTTGATGCAATTTAGAATAAAACCCTCAAACTTAATGTGCAAAGCTGGTATGTTTGGAAGTGCTTATTAAAATCTCTCACTTTGCATAAAAGCACTAATTGAAATTAACAAAAAAGTGTTTTTTCTTATAACAGTCAAATGTCCGCAGGCAGGTTGAGCTGATGTGCTTATTATGTTTTACTTATCGTAAAAAAACAAATAAATTTAAACAACAAAAGTATAGTTTAACAAGCTCTTCTGTTGATTCACTCAACGGTTCCCTCTATGACTGTTGTCAGAAGCAGCGTGTTGACCTGGGAGATTTACTGCTGCGTTAAACAGACAAAAACAGCTTCCAGTCAACACACTGCAGCACAAGTGTTTGAATCAGTAGTAACAGACTGTCCGTTTCTGTTGTGGCCGTTTGCAAAATTTGAACAATGGAGTCATTTTACCCAAATTACTTCACAGGATCTGTATGCTTAAAAAAAATTCAACAGATAATTAGATTTAGTCTTTATTGTTTGTGTAGATTGGTTTTCTTTAGAGCTACTGTCACTATAGATAAAGTTCCTAAAAAAGACGTTATATTTGAGTGGTAAAATAATCTGAAAAATATAATTCTAATAATAAAACAATTCAAAACCTCTAATATTTATTGTAACAAAAATGTGTGCCCTGTGTGACAGAAATGTTTCATGTTTACCACAGTAACAATTAAACAGTTGGCTTTGTTGCAAATGTGAATGATTTGGTCAAAGCAGATTTTAAATTCTCTCTGTTAAAGCATTTATTTCTATAAATTTCAATCATAAAAAATGTAGTTTGTTCCTTTAGTTTTCTTTGGTGTTTATTTTATACATTGTTTTGGAGGTGGTGTAACAACTGTTTCGTCCTGCGCGTGTGTGTGTATCTGACTGAGCGTGTGTGTGAGAGGGAGGCGGGGGTATATCATTCGTTCATTCTGTTCTTCTACCTACTGTAAATATTTAGCTGAAGGTTAATGCAGGGCAGTAGTGGGCAGGGTCTGCCTCGGACGGGGCCGTGTTGATGGATAGATGGTTAACCTGATGGTATTGTGTTAGACGGTGGTGAAGATGATGGTGATGGGAGTCGTGGGGGAACAAGAGGTTAGATTTTGGCTAGGTTAATGTTTGACTGCACAGGGGGTCACTGATGGGACGACCGAGCAGCCAGTGGGTTTTGGTTGTGTGGGGGAGGACGAGATGTGAGATGGACTTATTCAAACCTGTGTGTTTGTAAGCGAGAGAAAGACAGACACAGAATGGTGCAAAAAGTTTTATTTTACTTGAATATTTATATGGTTTTTTTTCTGTTTCATCTTCATTTTGTCTGTTTTTGTTTTTTGTTTTTTCATGGTAAACCAAAATAAGAACAGTTTTTGTCTCTTGCGGTAAATTGTGGAAACATGGAGCAATTTAAACAACAGAAATTTGTATAAATTGCTGTTATTATAATATATATATTATATATAATATATGTTAAATATAATCTACTGTAATGTAATTGTGAATTTAAACCATATTTAAAAAAAAATGATATAGATGAATCAGTGTCTGTTTGCTGGCACTAAAACAGAAAACATTAATAACAATTTCAAACAAAGACCTAAATATATTGATTAAGGTTAATTAAATAATACAAATTTATCTTAGAGTTATTAAAGACAATACATTTTAATTTTTTAACTGTTAAATACTATCTCAGCGTCGTCATGGACTTGATGATTACTGAGTTTTATATGACCTCTGGCTTGTCTTTTTCATATTACAGTTCTGGAAATAAGTGAATATTAAATTTTGAAATTTCCTTTTTTTGGAATAACTTGAAAAGTAAAAGCCAGAGATCACATTAATTAAAACAATAATTTATAGGTTTTGGAAAAATTCAAATTTGTAATATTTGTGTTTTGCAATTTACAGAAATTCACTCACTTTAGTTGGTGTTTACATTTTACAGCTTGGGGTTTGGAGTGAAGGACATTGGTAATGTCCAAATGTGTAAGAAAACAGTATTCTATTTTATTCAATTCTATTCTATTCTATATCTACAGCCAATGCATTAATAGTATATGCGTATTTCTTCTTTTTTTTGTTGAGTTTTGTGTTGGAGTTTTTTAGTCTCCTGTATAAGTTGTTAGTAATAAGAGCATTTATTATACTCTCTTTGATAACACAAACACACACACACTTGTGTTCACAACCAACAGTGTTGTTTATCTCCTTCCAAACTGTTTTTAGTGTTTGTGTCCTAATATATGGCAGTAACTGCGTTACTGTGTTAAAGTACAGACCATGTCAAAAGTACTACAGTGAGGTTTTATGGTCCACACAGATTCAGCAGTGACTAACGTTAAAACTACAGGATTTGACCCTAACCCTCTTTAAATAGCCTGAATAGATTTCCTATACAGAGGAAAGCAGCTTGATCTAATCAGGTTAGATTTTTTTTTTTTAACTTTTCTCGAAGCCCGCACTCGAACACTGAGCAGGAAAAGAGCAGGAACAGGAAGGTCGAGCCACAGAGGCAGATGGGCTTCAGGGGCTCTAACGTTATTGATCACACAGTCGGGCTTTTTCTGTGTGTACTTTAATTTGTGGGCTTTTCTTTCTGCTCTTTTAAGGACCATAAGCAACATTGTGGACAATAATTCCGGGCCGTTTAAAGTTAGGATGATGATGAAATATGGATGAAGATTTATGGTGAATATGATTGTAGGTCAGCTGTACAAAGGTTAATTCAAAGATTTTTTATTAACCATCGTTGACCTAAATTACATTTACACAGTATATAATATATTGTTTTTGCAAAAGTTTGATTTAATAAAATATTAATATTGAAGCATTAATGTAATACTAATTGACTGCCAAGTATATTTTTTATGATATATTTATTATGATATTAAGTGTCTTAAAATCCTAAATTTGATGATCTTCATCTGTTTTTTTGTTTGTTTGTTTTTTTCACATTATTTGACGTGTTGTACTAGTTCAAAAATTGATAAACATATATTTTTTTAAGCCTTTAAATAAGCCCAGGGCATTTAAACATCCCGGCAGCGCAACTGTTAAAAAAAGTATATTTCCAGTTATCAGAAAAAAATATTACACAATCCAACCACCACTATAGTAATACATTGCATATGCACTGTGCTGTGTTTCAACTTAAAATTGACTTTTGATATTACAGTACAACAACAACAGTTTTAGTTTGTGTTCTCTCAGTGTACTGCACTGATAAACTGTTGTTTTGGCCCCTACTCTTCTGGCAAAAGTTCCTCAAGGAGCTCCCGCCCTCTGCTTTGAGTATCAATTTTTCTGCTGCATTTTATTACACTGTTATAAATAGTATTTGGGCCCATGTTGTCTTCACCTCTCTCTCTCCCTCTCCCTCCGTCTCCCTCTTACCCTCCCCTTGTGGCACAAAGATCTCTTGTTCACCCGGTGAATGTGCGCTGCCCCTGAGCCATTCAGGCCTTTGTGGGGCTGAGGGGCCCTCGCTCCAGCCCCCCCACCCTCGACTCCCTCCTCCTCTGGGGTCAAAGGGGGGCAGGGGCAGGGCTTATCCCTGGTTAGTGGGCGAGCAATGTGTGTGTGTGTGTGTGTAGAGAGAGAGAGAATCAGACGTAGCGGAGATAAGAGCCTGCATATGGTTGCTTGAAAATAGAATGTGTTTGCATAGGAGATATAAAAGTAGGTTATCTCCTCCATAGTGCCAGGTTGTATATGATGTAAGAAAATCTGTATTTTTACTGCTGATATTTCTCATTCTCACATAGTATCGTCGGTCTCACCTTATTTGTTACTTCAGTTCTCCTTTCTATTCTAACACTGACCTTTTCTGTTGTGACAAATGAAATTCTCCTGTTCGGAATAATAATGTTGAATCTCCCCTAATTAAATTTAATCTAATATAACAAGGAGTGAAGAGTAATGATGATTGTTTGTCTAAATTTGGAGGATGCAAATATGTTTCTATTTTTCTGTTACAATTTTTCATAGCCTTGGGGTTTTACATGATTGGCAAGAAATTTAACTTTTGACCCCATGTTCACATCCACTTCAAATAATTAGTTAAAGGTGAGTTTTATTTCAGTGCTTTTAAGATGTTGCCAATAATTGAAACCATTAATTGTGTGTGTGTTTGTGTGTGTTTCTATATGTGTTATATTTCTGTTAAAATCACTTTGGTTGAATTTTTTTCAACTTGATGTTGTCTTACATGAAAGTCCCTACAATAAAAATGACTTGGCCATTTACTTCCACAAATACACAGGAACCTCCATAGGGTATTAGTTACATTTTTGGAGCTGTGTCAGGCAACGGGTCCGTCTGTTTGCTGCCGTCATGGCTCCGGTTTTATTAATATCTGTTAAAGAAGCTGTGATCCAATGAGAGGACCAGACGTCTAAAGACAAAACCTTTGGCCTCACTCATGCAGAGCGGCAACATTTCATTTTCTGTTCCTGACAGGTGTTTTCTCCGCTGTCGATGGCTCGTCATCGGGACCAGGGTCAGCCATGGTGGGCGGGGCCAACTCTGAGATGACACAGCAGCAGCAACAGCAGCAAACCACACCCTCTCTAGCCCCGCCCTCTCCATTTACTGCCACGGCTCCGCTGACCAGCACCGCCTCCTCACATGTGAGTTCAAACACACAAACTGCTGAAAACCATTAAAAATTTAAAAAATTTTTCTAGTTTCCTCTCTCTCTCTTCATCTATCTTTCTCCCATTTTCGCGCACAGAACCGCATGTTCTCCCACATGTTTGATAGTAATTGTGGGAACACAAATAAAACAGTCGTCTAATTAAAAGTCCTCCGCACCAAATCTCTCTGCACTGTTACTAATCCATTTCTTGTTAATTATGTGTGAAGTGTGTTCAAGTATGTGTGTGTTTGTGTGTGTGCTGATCTTGTGTAGACTTTATTCTCTGTAAGACGGTTATTTCACAGCTCACTGTCACGTCTGGTTTATTTAAAGAATTAAAAAAAAATCTTTTTTTTTTTTTTTTTTTAAAAAAGGAACGTTTTATTGAAACTGCTGTCATTCCCCATTCACTCTCCATTTGGTCTGTATTGACATGTTCAGTCGTGCAGTTTAAGTTCCTTACACATTACAGTAATATTTACAGTATGATGTCATTCTTTTTCTTCAGCACTGATGTTATGATTTCTGTCATGACCGTTAACATGGTGTGAAACCAACTCTGGATATCTGAGTTTTATAATAATGATAATAATAATAATAATAATCTCAAGTGAAAACAACTGTCTAGAGTTTTTTAAATCTAATTTAATTACTGTTTGGAATTTCCTGCTTTTTCTCCAGCTGATGTGTTTCACACTTTTAAACAGAGGCACAATACAAACTTTTACTTGATCAATCACCTTATCGCACAGAATCAATGCCTGCATCTCTTTAAAAAGGAGGGAAAACAACCTCCTCTTGGATCACTGACCCCAGTGTCTGTCCTTTCAGAAACCTCCTTGAACACCACACCGTCCACTAAACTCCATTTTTCTTGTGTGTCCACTTACCAGCCTTCTTTTTCTCTCTCACACACACTTTTTCTCACCCTTGACATTCCATCTCTCTCTCTCTTTCTTTCTCTCTTTCTTTTTTTTTCTTCGTCCGTTGTCCTGTGATGTAATGACATCTGACAAGCACCACAGTGGGGATGGAGGGATAGATGGAGAGGAGGAGTTAGGGGCAAGTATTTGTGCGTAGAGTAGAGTTGAAGGGGGGAGGGGGGACTGAGTTTAAATCGGCTGGCCTGGCCTTTATCTACTCTCTTCCTCTCTGCTGTGTTGTAGTAGACAGGAGGTTATGAGCAGTGGACGATACCATGTCTGTTTAGGGAATGAATATATAAGCGTGTGATGTAGATGTTAGGCGTTAGTTTGGTCTTGACTGTTAAAATATATATTTTGTAGTCACTGTTTTGTTTTTCTACACTTTGTAAGAATTGTGTGAAGAAGTGGAAAAACAGTTTTGATCATCAGGGTAGACATTATGCAACAAGAGTAAGATGATAACGGCGTCCCTCTGTGTGTGTGTGTGGGTGGGTGTGTGTTCCTATGCTTGTGTGTAAAAGGGAGAGAAAGAGAGTCTCGGCCTACTACTATTGGCTACCAGCCCAAGGCAAAGAAAGGGAACCCGAGAGAGACTTTGAATGAAAAATGAATGTAAATGAAAAATGAATGTTGATGGGGAAAAAGGGGGCTGGATTATGGTATTGAGGGGAGAAGGAGAAGAAGGGGAAAAGGGGGAGGAGAAATGGGAGGGTTATCTAAAGAGAAACCATTTGACTGTGGAGAGGTGGACAGAGGTTAAATTTAACATTTTACAGGAATGGGAATTTGCAGGATGTTCTCCAGATTGTATTATTTTGAGGAAACCACTTGAATTAATTTGTAAGGCAAACATACAAAGACCCACACACACACACAAATGCACGCTTGTTTTGGTGTTTTGTAAGCGTTTCACAAGAACAAAATGCATTTGCTAGCCCTTTATTTTAATTTAAACTACTACAACTCTATGCCTAAACCTAATCCTCCCTTTAATCCTAATTTGACTGTAATTTCTATCCTTACTCAATAAAATAACTAAAAATACTCCTTAATATCATCAGGGTTCAACAAATGTCTCCCACTAGGTATGAGTGTCACAAATAAAGTAAACACAACACAAATAAAAGAATACACACACACACAAAAGCACAAACAAACAGATGTACGATAGCATAAATTATCCTAATTCAAGCCTTATTCTTAATCTTAACCATAACCAGTTAAAGCCCAACCTCTGACATAAATCACATATTCATTCTAACTTTTACCAGAACCTCAGAAATGAGGTTTTTTCCTCATCTGGACCAGGGTTTGGACCCCATTAAGAACCAGTGGCCATTAATAAATAGTCAGAATGAATGTTTGAAATGATTCCAGATAAGTTACAAAAATAGATACACACACACACACACACACAAGCGTGCTCATTTTATAAATAAATATACGTAGTTAATTCTCAATTGTTCGTTTTTTTAATTTAGATTCCAAAATATGTTTATACCCAAAACTGGCTTTGTCAAAAAATATATAACTGCAGTTCAATAATACAGATTTCTTGTTGGCTTTCCTTAAATAACATTACGTAATAACCTGCTGAAGCAATAAGTGCAAAATTAGAAGAAAATATATATTTTTTACTTTGTCGTCTATATGTTTTGGACAGTTTATACTGGAAAACTGGAATTTCTGCATTTTGTTATCCCAACAAAAACATATTATTATGTAATTTACCACAGTCTATGGAAGTAAAATAGGAAAATAACATTTAATAATTATTTAATATAAAACAGTCATTTAACCCCTACAACTATAATACATTAATTACATTTAGTTTTTACATTTAGACAATAACTCCATAATGTCTGTCCAAAAATGAATTTTTGACTTTTAAAATGTATTTAATTATAAAGCTGCAGACGGCAGTTTAGGCTTAAAAATTGTAAGTTCCTTGATTGAAAAATAAAACTTTCGACTTATTCTCTTTAATGCATCCTACAAAATTACTGCATTAATTTTGCTGATGAAAACAATTGCTGGTAATCTGTGAACATGTAAAAGTTTAAAAAAGAAAAAATTCACACAACACACATTTTTTAACCAACATACAGTTAATACTGTCTCTCCTTGTCTCTACAGGTGAGCGGTCTCCCAGGCTCCGTTTTCAACCTCGCGCCCTCCCACATGTTTGGTAACAGACTGAACCCCAACTCGGCCATGGCTGCGCTCATCGCCCAGTCCGAGGCTTCACCAGCCGGTATGGAAATTCACGTCTGGCTGTGTGTGTGTGTGTGTGTGTGTGTGTGTGTGTGTGTGTGTGTGTGAGAGAGAGAGAGAGAGAGAAACAAAAACCTGCACGTATGCTAGAAAAAGAAGACACAGAGAATGAGATAATGGATAGGTCACGCCCCTTCACTCCCTCTGAGAGGTCAAGGGTCAACACTCGTGATATTTTCAGGCTCCTCCCACTCAGCTCCGGTTACACCCCTTGGTGGCTGCCCGGTCTTATCCTTTCAGTGTGTCACTCATGTTAAAGAAAATACAGTGTCAGAGATCATTAAAGTCATTTACAAACAAAAACTTGTTTCCAGAATGACAAAAAGGGAGAGAGAGAAGTGGAGGAGTGGACCAGAACTGAGTGTTGTAGAGAGGAGTCGGTGGTTTGTGGTTTGTTGTTTGTCCACATTTGGAGCTGATGAGAGAGTGAAAGGTGGCTTTAGTCAGTCAGAGGAACCACTTCCTGATACATGACATCTGGCCAAAGAGAGAACTAAGAAACTAGATGAGAGAAAGAGAGTAAAAGGAGGAAGGAAAGGAAAGAGGAGGAGGAAGAGAGGGAATGTACTTGCCGGTCAGCAGCCATCAGGGCCAGATCCAGAATGACCTGCAGGTCAGCTCACTAATCAGGCTGAATGACAGCCAGACAGCGAGTGTGTGCGCGCCTGTGTTTGTTTGTGTGGGTGCATATACATATAAAAAGTTATTTGAAGAATTTAATGGTGTTTATTTAGAAGACAGTGAAATTAAATAAGATTATATTAGTTTAGATGTATTAAAAATGTATTGCTCTCTTTATGGTTAAAAACAAATGGAACATCAAGCAACAACATCTAATACATGTCAATTCACTCGCCTCTGTTAACGTCAAAACTCATAATTAGATTATGTCAAATCCTGAACAAAACCAACAAAAAAATATTTTATTTTACGGATATTACGGACAATTTAAAATTGGAGTACTTTTACCGCAAAATAATTTTTTATATTCTTCTTCCCTCAGTTTTGTTCATTTGAAAATTGAAGTTGAAATTTAACAGATGTCTCCACTCTTAGAAAGTTAACATTTCTAAAGGATATTTTGTTTTGGATATTTTTGGAACATATAACGTATATTGAGGACATTTGTACATCTAATACACAGTATTTCAAAATATTATCAAAATATTAATAAATCAAAATAGCAAAATTCTCTCCATTAGTTTGTCTTCAATCTCTAATTGGTTTAAATTTAAACGTGAGGCAATCTTTGTGCCACAAAAAATGCTTCATTTTTTGCAGTTGTATATGACTTGTGTGCCTGATTTTAGTGTGTGTGTGTGTGCGCGTGCGTGCGTGTGTGCGTGCGGGCGTGGGGGTGTGTGTGGGGAGGGGTCACATAAGCGCAAACATGCAAAGGTGCACTTGGGTTTTGTGCGTCGTACGCGGCCTGTTTACATTGGCAGCCATTTCTCTTTGCTCTGGAGTGTCTGGAGGGAGGTGCTGCAATTGGGTTTGGGAAAAAAGGAGGCCATGAGAGAGAGTGATAGAAAGGAACTGAAATAGGAGGCAAGTGAGGGGCCAGAGCACTGACCTGCCGAGGCTAAAAGCTGGGATTGACTGTCTTAAGTAGAGGGGAGTTTGTCGCAGTTGTGTAAATGCAAAAGTGTGCGTTTGTGTGTGTGCCTGCATGTGTGATTCATTATTCCCTCAGAGGAAAATGAAAAGAAGCGTCTGGCCATGGGCCCAGAGAGGGGACAGAGAGAGAGAGAGACATTGAGAGACAGAGACGGAGAGAGAGCAAGCACATGTAGCTTGAATGAAGACTGTCCTGTAAGAGCGATACAAAAGCAAAGCTCCAGAGATTCTAGAATCACAGACGGTGGTTGCACACTTTACAGACCAAATATTTTAAAAGTGTGATTTATTGCTGTGGTTGACATTTCACTGTCTCTCTATTCATGAAAGGGCTAGAAAACTACTTGAATCACCAGTTAGCGTCGTATACCGAGTTTGAGTGAATTTGCGATGATTATATAAAACTTTGACGGGAATATTACTAAGATAATGTCAGTGTTATTTGATGATCAAAGTAAATAGTGATTCAATGATACTGATACAGATTTCAGTAATTGCATATTATCTATAAGCTATTTGTAAAGTTTTAATTTTTTGTCATATGTATGTTGCTATATAAATAACAAGAAAACAAATAGTTACTAATAACTTGTAGCCCCTTCTATTCTGCCTTATTACCAGCACATTTCCATTTGCTTAAGAATTCTAAAAAAAATCTCTAAAGACCAACCAGAGTTTCCCCATCATCGTTTGAAGAAAGGTCAGCTGTATCCTGGTGTATTATTTTAATGTCACATTGCTTCTCAGTGTGAATGAGCTTAAGAAAGTTTCTTTTGTGAATGTGTCATGAGCTGGGTGTCACTTTAGTCCTGTGTTCTGCTGGAATTCCCCACGATCTCCTTCAAGACTGAAGTCATTTACATGTTCCTGTAATTGTCCAGAGGCCTGACTATATGTGTATGTGTGTTTAAAAGCCAATTGTCCACATATAGAAGGTTGTTCCGGACTTTTTTTTACCCCCTGATCTTCCTGCACTGATATCTTTAGTCAAACGTCTGTAGACTGAAGTGAACCTTTGTGAGATTAGAGCAGGAAAATCTGACAATTCACACGTGATTGTCCTGGAGTCCACTCCAGGAAATTTACGTTGTGAAACCGTCTGCCTTAAGACAATCTGCTATTTTTATTATGTGAACAAAAAAAAACCTTCGGAAAAACCCCAGACCTTTATTTTCCAGACATTTATTGCGGTTTGTCTGTGACAGCAGCAAATATTGAGTGTTCCTCAGCCGTCGCTGTTGAACATGTCAAACTAATGCATCAGGCAAAATCAATTCATTCAATGTGTTTCATTATAAACACAAGTCACTGTGTGTTGATGTGATAAATATATATTTTTTGGATTGTTTTCAACTGTCTGTGGGGCTAATACAGCATCATAGTCTCATGTCTGCAGGCATCTGTTGATGTGTGTTTTTTGTCAAAACATTTTGATGTCAAATGTGGTTTAGAAAAACATATTTGTAACTCAACAGAACATTTATAGCTAATTTTTCCAATTATGAAGATGAGAAACCAAAAAAAGAATTTATAAAATTGAGTTGAGGACTTTTAAGTTGGGCTGCAATTTTAATAAACACAAATAAATATGGTTGTTTTATTTATAAAAAAATAAATTAAGAAAATATTTAATTTCTATTTTCATTTTATACCAAATGAAACCTTAGGGCTGCAATAACCAGCTAATTTTTTATTTATGTCACAACTTACTTAGTCAACATCAGCTCATTTTTTTGAGTATTTATATAAAAAAATAAAATAATTATTTAAACAATAATTTACTGTAATGTTAACCAGTAAATATTAAGCTTTCTAAATGTAAATATAAAATTGTATTCTATTCTATTATATTTGGAGACAGTCAAAACACTCATTAAATACTAGACACTGGTCTAGTATTTATTTAATTTCTCTGGCATTCAACAAAAAAAAATAAAATTCTGTAAACAGTAGTTTAGGGTTGTAGTAGTATTATAGTTCCGTGGACCATGTAATAGGTTTCCTGCAATTAAAAGAAGGTCTAACAAATTGAGAGGATTTGTCAATTCTTCAACTGTTAAACATTAATAGGAGCAAAATAAAAAATAAAAAGATTATTCTAATATGATAAACTGAACTAAATTAATAAGTGATGATGTGTACACTGTCTTTTTTTAATCTAACAGATCACATGAGGAGATGTTTGCTGCATCAAAGAATTCTTTTCTTTTCTTTGTTGTGAAGAATTAAAAATAGCCTCACCTTGTAGTTTCAACCTCAGCTATTTTAGTCTGCGTCTTTTTTTAGACGTCTACTTGATTTTCCGTGTGTGTGTGTGTGTGTGTGTACACAGATCAGGAGGTCAGAGATGGCAACGGCAGTGTCGGAGCTCAGAGTTTCCCCGTAAGAGCTTCCCCCAAGACCACCCCACGGTGAGAACATGCTGCTGTTCTCTATTTCTTTCTCTTGCCCTTCCTCTCTCAATCCCTTTCTCACTCACACACCAAATCCGTCCTCGTTTTTAACATTCCTCTCTGGCCCCCCTCCGTCTCCCATCCCCCTCTCTGTTTTTCCCTTCACTGCCCTGCTCACTCTCCGTTCTCTTCCTCTCACTCCTGTCTTTCTCTGTCTTTCTCTCTCTCTTTCAAACACACACACACACACACACACCCTTTCATTCATACCCCCACAGGCACAATAACGTGTGTTTTTGAAGGTGGTAACCAGCCTTCAGACCCAGTTAGATCTGTGTTTTTTCCTCCTCGCTCTAATCACACATGGAAGGACACTCTGCTAACTTTCCAGCATCTGCTGCACTCGGGAATATTTGCACGGATGTTCCGGACGGAATATTGATGAAACAGATCCACTTATGTGCATGTTCCTGGTTTCTTTATGAGACGGATAATTTCGTTTGACAAGGTTGGTGACGTTTTTATCACAAGAGCTGCAGCTGTATTATTTTATGTTTTGCATTAAGGACTCAGAATTCATGCTCAAATGGCAGCGTTTAATTTCCAAGGAAATGTCTTGGAATGGGTTTTAGATGTCAGGGCGGCGTTTTTTAGATCATTCGTCACACCTTGAGGATTTGTAATTCTCACATGTCATTTTCAAAAGTCGATAAATCACATTTGTTTTCCGTTTCTGTTGTGTCAACTTTTCTGAATCGAGGTAAATTGTTTACACTGTCAAACCTTTTTTCAAAAACTTTTCGCGCACCCATCACTCTCGCCTTTCTACACTATGCCGCTGTTCCTCGTTTTTTTTTTTTTCACACTCAACAGCTTGTCTCAACACACGCTAACACATCAAGATTTATCGCAGCACAACAGTCCACTTCCCCTTCTCTGTCTCTCCCTCTCTCTCATGTCCTCTTTCTCTGTCTGTCTTCCTCTCCCTCTCTCACTCACTCACACACAGACGGAGAGCCTGGCCCCTTTTCATTAAAGACCACTGTAACAACAAATTGATGTAGTTTTATAGCCAGCAGTGTCTATGTTTGTCTGACGTTTATGTTGGGTCGTTAATCTCCCCATTGACCCCTCTATCTCTCCCTTTCTGCCCATGCTGTCTCCCTCTCTCTCTCTCCCACCATTCAGATCGCCCATTGGTGGCCTACAGATCCGCTATGACTCTTCGGGGTCGTTGCCGGGGCCGGGTCTGGGGTTGCTAGGGGCTGGGGGAGGCAGCGGCGGGGGGGGGGGCGGGGGGGGGGGGGGGGGGGG